GGCAGAGAGGCAGAGAGGCAGAGAGGCAGAGAGGCAGAGAGGCAGAGGCAGATACACATAGGGGTTCAAGGTTACCCTAGGCAGCACAGAGTTTAAGGCTAGCCTGAGCTATGAAACTCTTTTTATAGTCAACATGAGGGAAGGAGGAAGACAGAGAGAGAGAGAGAGAGAGAGAGAGAGAGAGAGAGAGAGAGAGAGAATGAGAGGGAGAGAGAGAGAGAGGCAATAATAGTATTAGCAAGGAGGCTGAGAAATTATATCCATCATAAATTGTGTTGTGAAATAGTGCAGCAGTCCCACGAATGTTAGAAACACACTGGCCGTGTCTCCTAGCGACTCTGCTCATTGGTATTAAATACAGAATGGAAAAAGCAAGTCCACACAAAGACACGTTCAAACGCAGATTTCTTAGATAGAGGAAGAGCCAAAGTGGAAAACAGCCCAACTGTGCATGATCTGGACAGTGGATAAATAAAGCACAGCATGGTCACACAGAGACAAGTCATCCACACGAGGGAAATAAGTACGGACACACGATACAGCATGTGTAGCCCTCAGGAGCGTCCTGTCATACTGTAGTTCACCTTGTGAAATGTCCAGAAGCATCAGATCTTTGGAAGCTGGACTAGACCAGTTTATTTTAGGGGATTGAATTTAAAAGCTAAGTTGTGTTATTGGTTTCCTATGTAGATATAAAATGTACACAGTCTGAGTGGGCGGGCTCTACCACATTTGGAAGTTTCATCTCAATAGAGCTGTTTTCAGACACTCATCGTGGTGCTGAGGCTGCAGCTAGCTCAGCTGGTGAAGCCCTTGCCTGTGCTGCAGGACACTTCTGTTCCATCCACAGCACCCCACAGATGGAGCGTACACTACATTTGGGATCGGCACAGGGGGATCTGAAACTCCAAGTGATATGGAGGAGTTTCCAAGTGATATGAGACTACGGAGTGAGTTTGAGGTCAGCCCGGCGTACCGGAGACCTTGTCCTCCCCCTTCCAAAGAAGCGACTAACACAAGGGAATTGAGGAAACCTCATTTAGGGTCTGAACAAAACCTCCTCACACTAAACCGTCCACGAGGCTGAGAAACCAATCAGAACTTCAGTGGTTGCGGAGAGTTCAGAATGGAACAAGTTCAGAGACAGATTGTCTTGAGCCATCATCAACCCTCTAAATAGCCTTTGCTGTCTGTATGTGACCTAGCATCTAAGTGACCATTGGGTAAATCCTTTGAAATGTTCCCAAAAGACACCTAGCTCCCACTAACCAAAAAGCCAAGAATGGTATCAGATAGCATCTGAGACCCACAGAATGGAGTTCCCTCAATTTCTTTAACCCACCCTACCCAATGTTCCCACCAAGTGTTTGAAAGCCGCCTCATTTACAACTTTATTTGTTCTACACTGTTGAAAACTTGAGGAAACTCTTACCGTGATGGAACATGGAATTTGGATAACCTGAGTCTGTGTCCTGGACCCTGGTCACTCATAGTCAGCTCCAGAATAGACTCTCTCATCCCCTTTGAGATAAGAGTGGTTTCTTTCACCAGTATGGGGTAAAATATATATATTCCATTGGCTGCCCCACTTAGTTCATGCAAAGATATTAGACTCTGAATACTTCTGTAAGACTTCAAAGTTCACTCTGTCTCCCTTCTTTACACCACTATGAAAATCCCTGTCCCGCTTGTATCCCTATCCGAACCATGTCACTGTCAGTCCACAGATCACAAGGAATCTTGCTCCAAATGCAGGTTGAAGACATGCTGGAGACATCCCTGATGGCCCTGGGGGAGATCCACAGAGCATTTTGCCAACGAAGTCTGTGCCCTCAGTCGGCAGTGACCCTGGCCTCTTCCACTGCTACTCTGGTGCTGAGCAGGTTAACAGGCTAGAGGGCTGGGGACGTTTCATTTTGATTTTGACTTTTAGAGGGCATTCAGAAAGTGATGTGCATCTAAATCCTTTCAGCCAAAATGTGTCGACGTTGCCTTTGAGCACCTACACTCTGGGTGAGCCTGCACCTTTGAGGTTGGGCTTCCCGTCAGCAGAAGCGCTGAAGGAACTCTTGAATAAACACCCAGGAGTGAACCTTCAAGTGAGTATGAACCAGACTGAGATAGGAATGAGTGAGACTGAGATAGGAATAAGTGAGGCTGAGATAGGAATGAATGAAGTGCTGTGGGATGGAGATAGGAAGGAAGGAATGAATCGGTGTGGGAGTGGGATGGCCGTGTGAGGATGTAGGGGAGAGAGTGTGAGGAAAGACCATGGACACTAATTTATTTTTTCACACTGAGAGGAGAAAGGCCTCTTAAAATGATCTAGTGAGGGATGTGGAGGTGGCTCAGCGGGTAAGAACACATTCTCTGTCAATAAGAGGACCTGAGTTTGAATCCCCAGCACCCTTATAAGTGTGGGCATGGCTGTGTGTGCCTATAACCTTAGCTTTGTGATGCAGAGTCAGGCAGATTAGCGTTCACTGGCCAGCCAGCCTAGCCCAAACCACAAGCTTCCATTTCAGTGAGAATCCCAGACAGAGAGCAGTAGAGGAAGATACCTAGTGTCCTTCTCTGACCTCTATATGCCTGCTCATTGGCATAAACTCCTGCACCTACGTACTCAGATGCATGTAACACACACATGCACACACATGTGTACACACACACACACAATCTAGTATATAGCTAGGTTTGATGGGAGATGTCTGTTGTCCTAGCCCTTGAGAGGCAGGAGGAGGAGGATTGCTGTGAATTCAGCTGTATTACAATATATTGCTATTTTACAAGTCTCAGAAAAGTCCAGTAGGGAGCTTGGGAGCATTCAACAGATATACGACTTTCCCTTAGTTTCTGGGTTGTGATTTGAGTTGATCTCAACATCTCTACTGGCAAAGTTGGGATTATCTGAATCATAACTAGTTCAGTGAGAAGAAAAAGAAAACTACACAGTGTTACACGGTAGAATTCTTACTCCCTACTGTAAAAGAGCAGAGGTGCGGAAATCATTTTGAGGGCCCCAAGTGCAGGCCCGACTTTCATTGTTTCTCATCAGCGTTACAATGTTTAACACCCTTCACCTAACACACCCTTGGGGACGCCAGCATTTAATTTATAACTGCTACCTTGTAATCCATTGGAGAGGATCCTCTATGAACAACTGGGCTGGCCATTGGAGGCACTGGAATTTGCTTCCTCTGCAGGTAACAGGTCTGGCTTTCAACCCTTTTGAGACGTCAGATGACAGGAACATTGTTGGAAGCGTTGGAAATGTACTGCTGAGCTCTGGTTACCAGCCGATCCAAGTCCGAGATTTAACAGAAGACATTGAGGTACAAGTATCTCAGTGGAAACAGCGCATGCTGGGATAGAGGATGGGAAGATACAACAACTTAGCATTTCCGATGCATGTCGGAGCTAAGTACATGGCACATGGGTTTAATCCCAGCACTCAGAAGGCAGAGAGAAGCAACTTCTGTGGGTTCAAGGCCAACCAGGTTGCATTGTGAGCCCTCTATGCCAGAAAGGCTACGCCGTGAGACCCTGTTTTACAAAAAAAAAAGGAGAGATTCATGTCAGGGCTGGTATTTAGTTACACATCTCAGGAACCTTCACAAAGACAGACCTAATTCAATCTCAGAAGAAGCCATCTAAGGCTGTACAGCCTCCACTAATCACTGGCTTTGTGTTGCCTACTAAGACCCAATGAAGAAGCCTCAGGAATTCCGTTACCTCCACTACAAGGAAAACAGAAAGGCCTGTCTTAACCTGGAGGATTAACTGTCTCCCTTTCTAGATCGTGCTCTGGAGAAACGACAGCATGGAGACCCAGCCGACCAACCTGAACACAAGTACAGACCGGTTCACAATCTCTGTGAATATCACTTCCTTGGAGAAAACCCTCATTGTGACCATCGAGCCCGAAAGTCCCCTCCTAATGACACTCTACCTGGGCTTCCAGGACCAGCCGGCCCACACTCACTTCTATCTCAACGTCAGCCTGCCGAGGGACCAGGTGTGGCAGAAAGGTATCTATCAGCCATCAGATGCCTGCAGGGAGGTAGCTCTGTGGTAGAACATGCATGTAGGATGACAGGGCCAGTGCACCACTGAGATGGGTGATGATGTTTTTCAAGCACCTGCATGTATCATGGGGGCAGGGAGTGTGAAAGAGGGGGATTGGGGGGGTTCTGACAGTGACCTTCGTCAATCACTCTTATACTATATTCTTTGAAGTGAGGTGTCTCAATCAGACCCAGAGCTTGCCAAGGTGTTCAGTCCTGGTAGCCACCTTCCTTAGGGATCCCTCTACCTTCCAAGGCTGGGATTAGGGGCAGGTTGCCATATCTACCCAGTATTTATATAGCTTCTGGGGATCTGAACTCTGATCCTCTTGCTTGCAAGGCAAGCACTTCACTTCAACTGCTGAGCAAGCTCTAAGCCATTTTTTAAAAGTGTCTTATGTAGCCCAAAATAGCCTCAAGCTCACCACATAGCCAAGGTTGGTGCTGAGCTTCTGATCTCCTGCCTCCATCTCTCAAGTGCTAGGATTTGTATCACTATGATGGGTTTATTATTGCTGGGGATCAAACCCAGGCCTTCATATATACTACACAAGCACTTTTATCACTGAGCTGCATTTCCCACAGTCTTAGCATCCTATTGTTGTGAACGACCACAGCTACCCTTATAAAGAAAGCATTTAGTTGGGGCTGTCTTATAGTTTCAGGAGTTTAGTCCATTATCACCTCGGTAGGGAGTATGCTCGGTATGCTCAGCAGGGAGCATGGCAGTTTGCAGGTAGACGTGGTGCTGGAGAAGTAGCTGAGAGTTCTTCATCCAGATCCACAGACAGCTGGAAGAAAGAGAGACTGGGCCTGGCTTGGGCTTTTAAAACATCAAAGCCCACCACAGGGACACACTCCCACCAACAATGAAGGCCACACCGCCTAATCCTTCTCAAGTAATGCCACTCCCTGATGACCAAGCATTCAGATATGTTAGCCTAAAGGGGCCATTCTCATTCAAACCACCACACAGCCCATGTGTGCCGGTTTCTTGTTTTTTTTTTTCTCTAGAATTCATAGTGCATTCCAATTCATTAGACCTAAATGAGCATGTATCTAAAGGAAATGATTCCTGTGGTGGTTTGAATATGCTTGGCCCATGGGAAGTGCTACCATTAGGAGGTGTGGCCTTCCTGGAGTAGGTGTGGTCTTGTTGGAGTGGGTGTGGCCTTGTTGGAGGAAGTCAATCACTGTCTGAGTAGGCTTTGAGGTCCTATGCTCAACCTTCACCCAGTGCAGAAGTCAGTGTCTCCTGGTTGCTTTCTGATCAAAATGTAGAACTCTCAGCTACCTCTCCAGCACCACGTCTGCCTGCAGGCTGCCACGCTTCCTGCCGTGATGATGATGGACTGAACATCTGAAACAAAGCCAGCCCCAATTAAATGTTGTCTTTTATAAGAGTTGCCTTGGTCACGGGGTCTCTTCACAGCAAAGGACACCCTAACTAGACAAGATCTCATACTGTCCCCTTGACTGGAGTGTGTCTGGTTCTGAGTTGAGGATGTGTCGCCAGTCTCTCTTGCACCGGTGCTAGACTCCTAGCCTCAATTGTAAGATAATAGTAATGAATAATAATAGTGTGGATCTGACGGGGTCTTAGCCCTTTGGGAATATAACCCAGCATTCTTCTTGGTCCTAAGATGAGGAGTACACATGGGTGCTGACACCGGAGAGCCTGTGGTATGGGATTGGCACCTACTACATAATGGCCGTGGCGAATAAAAGTACAGAGACAACACAGAGCACCCCCGTCCTGGTCTCAGTGGTCACAGCTGTCACCCAGTGCTATTTCTGGGACAGATACAACAGGACATGGAAGAGCGACGGATGCCAAGTAAGGGGGCGGGGCGGGGGCGGGGCCTCTCCGAGACCTCCGCTGCACCCCTCCCTCTTCCATTTTTGGGGATAGACCAGAAACAACGCGAATCTGAAGGGAAGCAAATCAGCCTAGGACCATAAAGGAGGGTGGCCCGTGGTATCAGGGTAGGTATATCTCTAGAACAGCTGCGGGTGCTGTGCTCTTCTAATTCCCATCCGGACACAGCTGCAGGCAGTGACAGTGCGGGGCAAGTTGATAGCTGAGAGCTAGAGAGCCGAGGTGGAAGCTGTGTGCTAAATATCCGGCAACGAAAACGAAACAAGCCTCCACCTCTTCCAGTTGGGAATCTGTTATGACAGGAGTCGAGAGTTAAGAGCATCCCCTGCTCTTTCAGAGGATCCAACTTCAGTTCCCTGCACCTACATGGTGGCTCACGGCCACCACCTGTAAGTCTAGCTCCAGGAGATCCAATGCCTTCTTCTGGACTCCTCAAGCACACACACATAAATAAAAAATAAAAGAAAGCCAGAGAGAGAGACAGAGGGAGGGAGGGAGGGAGGGAGGGACAGAGGGAGAGAGAGAGAGAGAAAGAGAGAGAGAGAGAGATTGAGAGAGAGAGAGAGAGAGAGAGATTGAGAGAGAGATTGAGAGAGAGAGAGATTGAGAGAGAGATAGAGAGAGAGAGAGAGAGAGAGAGAGAGAGAGAGAGAGAGAGAGAAAGAATATATGCAGTGTAGATTCTTGTACGTGCCAGGCAGGCAAGGACAGATGATCACATTTATAGTCAGCATTTTGTTCCTGGTGTCTAATCCTTTCAGAAGCATCCTACCTACCTCTCACTACATAGCCAAGGTTGACCTCCAGTTCTTGATCTTCCTGCTCTGACCTCCCTGAATGTTGGGGTTACGGTATTCATTTCCACACCCAGCTTGCACATTCTTGATCCCGTGGGCGCTGGCCTGATCTAATGTCTGCTTCAGAAACACCACACTGATGCGAGGCCCTGGGAATCCTGAAGCTGTTCTTCAAAGGTCTGAGACTGGATCTGGCTGTGGTGGTGTGTGTGTTTAATCCCAGCACTCAGGAAGCAGACGAGGAGAATCATAAGTTCAAGGCCAGCCTGGGCTACATAGTGAGACCCTGTCTTTAAAAAAAGAAAAATCTGAGTACAGCAAGGAAAAAACAGGATTCTTAAGAAAGCAACTGCCCTAAGCAGTAATCTCTGGGCAGTTACTTCTCAGGCAGATCTCCCCCAAGGGGGAGTTTGTCAAAAGCACAGTCTGCAGTGCTGGCTGTGGATGACCCAGGCAGTGCCACACCATGTCTTGAGGAAACCATGCATTGAGGAGCAGACTTAAGAATGTTTATGCTCTCAGGACGTAAGCACTGATGGAGGAACCATTGGGATGTGTCTGCTCCATGAAGCACTCTGTGATGCTGTCTCTCCCAGTACAAGGAGAGAGGTTTTCCCAGGCTGGAGTAGGGACTGAGAAGCCAGGGCTTAGCCACATGCAGCAGAATTAGGGAATAAAGTCATAGAGGTAATATTTCCGGCGGAAATCAGTCCTATGGTTTCACTCTTGCTAGGTAAGCACCCTGCCACTGAGCCCACGTTATAGTCTTTCCATGCACCAATCAAACATGCATCGGTAGCACCCTTTATTCAGTTATTGGTACAACTTTAAAATAAACATCACAAAGAAATGTTATGTCATGTGGAAAATTACAAGAAATATTTTAGAAGTTTTAAACATACCATTCAGCTTTAGCAAAGTTGTTATTTTCTTAATTCAGGGTTTATTTTTAAAGTTTTGTTGTGTTTCACTGTTGTTTTATTTGAGACAGGTTCTAATTATGTAGCCCAAGCTGTCCCAAGTCTCATCAAGATCCACCTGCTTCTGCCTCCTGAACGCTGGGATCGCAGGTGGGCACCATCGCACCTGGCCCCTCCTTCAGAGTTTTAAAAATAATAAAACACTCAGGAATAATAGAAGCCATCTGTGGTCCCCTCACCATCCTCTATTGTGGGAAGCCACAGTCCTGGATCTTTCAAGTCATACTTCGTGATACCTTACACATGAGAGGCCCATGTTAGAGACTAGAGATGCAGTAATACATCGGTAACATCAGTGAAGAAGACTCCATATACCACGGCTGCCCAGCTTGATAGCCTGAGTTCAGTGCCTAGAACCCGTGTGGGTAGAAAGGGAGAACTCACTCCTGCAAGTTGTTCTTTGACACATACCCACACGATAAATAAGTTAATATGTCTATGTTATAAATGGATATATAATGTGTCCAGAGCTCCAAGGGACTAAACCACCAACCAAAGAGTACACATGGAGGGACCTATGGCTCCAGCCGCATATGTAACAGAGGATGGCCTTGTCAGACATCAACAGGAGGAGAGGCTCCTTGGTCCTGTGAAGGCCCGATGCCTCAGTGTAGGGGAATGCCAGGGTGGAGAGGCAGGAGTGGGTGGGTGGGTGAGCACCCTCATAGAAGCAGGGGGAGGGAAGATGGGATAGGGGGTTTCTGGAGGGGAAACTGGGAAAGGAGAAAACATTTGAAATGTCGATAAATAAAATATCCAATAAAATTTAAAAAGGGTATAAAATATATAAATGTTATAATATAAATATTTATATTATAAATGCATGTTGTATTAATATATAGTATATTATATGTTATAGAATATACATATTATAAATATATTGTATATAAATATATTATATACATATAGTATATATAAATACATATAGACATATATGCATATACATATATACATATAAAACCTTTGAGTCCTTTTCTGTCTCATGGCTGTCTGTGTCCCCATTCTCTGCTCGTCTGTCACTCCTTGTCACTCTACCTTACAATTTGGGTCTTCAATCGACTTCCAGGTGGGGCCGAAGAGCACCATCTTAAAGACCCAGTGTCTCTGTGACCACTTGACCTTCTTCAGCAGCGACTTCTTCATCGTGCCCAGGACGGTGGATGTAGGAAACACCATCAAACTGCTTCTTCATGTGACCAACAACCCTGTCGGGGTGTCGTTGCTGGCCAGCCTCCTAGGATTCTATATCCTCTTAGCCGTGTGGGCTTGGAGGAAGGATCGAGCAGATACGCAGAAGGTGAGAAGGATTGGGTCCCAAAGGCCACGGTGTGTCGAGTGCATCAACTGCCTAGGGGAAGCAGAGACTGTGGGGCAACGAGCAGAGGAAGTCCAGTGGGGCTGTGTTAAATCTCTCTACATACCTATTGTCTCAAAACAAAGTGGGGTTTTGTTTGGTTTTTGGTTTTTTTGGTTTTGTTTTGCTCTGGTTTTGGTGCCAAGGTAGGATCTTCACAGGAGTCGCACAGATCAGAAATACACCAGAAAATGTCTGCCATAGGAGCTCAACTGAAATCAGACCCATATTTACCTCACCTTATACACTAGACAAAGTTATACCAAGCCAATATATAATTATAAATTATTATAGTTTATAATAATATAACTGCAGTATACAGAAAACTAGTAAAAAATTGTCTTCTGGGGCTGGCAGGATGGCTCAGTGGGCAAAGGCACTTGCCACCAAGCCTGCTGACCTGAGTTCAATCCCCAGGATACACATGTTGGGAGGAGAGAATAGCAAGTTGCTCTCTGCTCTCTCCTTGTGTGTCATGGCACATCTGTGCCCGACACTGCACACACATAAATAAATGCTAAAATGTTTTAAAGACAAGATCCCAGCAACTGACCCCAAAAACACATTGTATAGCCCAGGCTGGCCTTGATATAACAGTAATTTTCAAATGCTACTAGGATTACACATGTGAGCCACCATACTTGGCTAGGTAAAAAAAAAAAATTTAGACAAGGTCTCACTGTGCAGTCCTGGCTGGCCTGAAACTCACTACACAGCTCAGGCTAGCCTCAAGCCCACAGAGACCCTCCTCTGTTCGCCTTCCAGATGCCACCACACCTAGCAAAGACAAAAACAAAACAAAAATAAAACAAAACAAACAGCAGTTAAATTATTGGGCATCTTTTTCCTAATTTCTGTTTTATATATTTTTTATTTTTGTGTTACTCTTTTTATTTCCGGGCCTTACACATGCTAGGCAAGGGCTCTACCAATAGCTACACTTCAGCCTCTTCTTGTTTATACTTGACGTTTTAGAAGAGGAGCATGCATTTATTATTGTCCTGGGTGAAGTTTTGCCAGCTTTAGTAAATAAAAAGCAAGAAAGCAATTTAATTTGCATTTCATATGAACAGTAGGTGAATCTTCAGCAGGCCCATGGCCTTTATTGTTTATCTAAAACTCCAGTTTCCCTGGCATCCTCCGCCCTGTATGCTCCTCCTTCCCAAGTGCTATGCCCAAGGCCCAGCCAACTCATCCTGGGGATGTTTTCATTTAGAGACAGACCCTGGAGTTTCAGACCTCAGCCCTCTGGTCACTTTGCTGGCCTGTGTGCTTGCCTTGCTGACACCACCTCCCCGTGCTTCCCATTGGGGTCCCAAAACTGCCACAGAGAAGCCTGTCCCCAGCTAGAACTGTCCTGAGGAGAGACCTAGCAAGCTCATGGCTTCTGCTCTTCCTGCAGGTGAAGGTAACAGTCCTGGCTGACAGCGACCCCAGCTCTGCATTCCACTACCTTATCCAGGTCTACACTGGGTATCGGAGGAGGGCTGCTACCACAGCCAAGGTTAGCAGAGCCCCAGCTTATTACTGTGTGTCTTCTGCAAAGTGTGTCTTTAGCATACTCTTAACTTGACAGTGTCTTGGTGTCCAATAATGCTTTAAAAGGAATCACCAGGATTGGCACTGCCTAGGCTTATTGTGTAATGTGAGGAACCCTCTGGACTTGTCTCACATCTAATGGATGCTTCCTTCTGCTCAAGAAAAACCCAAAGGCACGGTGTTACAGTGTTGAAGTAATAACTTTTATTTATTTATTTATTTATTTATTTATTTATTTATTTATTTATTTTTGGTTTTTCGAGGCAGGGTTTCTCTGTATAGCCCTGGCTGTCCTGGAGCTCACTCTGTAGACCAGGCTGGCCTCGAACTCAGAAATCCGCCTGCCTCTGCCTCCCAAGTGCTGAGATTAAAGGCGTGCGCCACCACCACCCGGCTGAAGTAATTAATTAAACTGGCCTCTGGTTCATGCAGGGGCTCTGCCTAGCCCAGCCGCCATGTTTCTCGCCTGAGGCCACGAGCGCGCTGCAGCTAGAACTGGCCTGCCAGAAACACCAGCCCTGCCACCCACTAGATGCCAGCGTGTGAGAGATGGCTCTGCCAATCTTCCATGCTGTCTCCGCAAGGCAGGGCATTGCCCAGACCATTCCACCATCCATGAGGGCCCAGTAAGAGAAAGAGACTCTAATTCTTAAGATTAATCAAAGGCTTTATATGTTTGATAATGATTAATAACAAGATGCCCATACAAAGAGAGTTGTATCCCAATTAGCTAACCTAATTATAAGTTTATAAGTTGTTCCCCACGACTGCTCTCCATACCTGTGTGGTTCTCCATCCTCCTACATCTCTGCCCTCTCTAGCTCCTCCTCTTCCTTTTTTCTCTTCCTCTCCCAACTCCTCCTCTTCCTCTCCTTACTCCTCCCACCTTAGCTTCTCCTACTTACAGCGCCTCGTTTTTTTTCATCTTTCCTCATTGCGTCCTAGGTCGTTATCACTCTCTATGGCTCAGAGGGACACAGCGAGCCCCACCACCTTTGTGACCCAGAGAAGATTGTTTTTGAGCGTGGAGCACTGGATGTTTTCCTTCTTTCCACTGGATCCTGGCTGGGGGACCTGCATGGCCTTCGGCTGTGGCATGACAATTCCGGTGACAGCCCTTCTTGGTAAGTACCTGCCCCATACTGGCTCACTTATATCTTTTTTTTTCTACTTTATTTTACATTTATTTATGTTGTATGTGCACACTACTCACACATGTATGGAGATTAAGGGATGATGTGAAAGTCAATTCTTCCCTTCCACCATGTGGGTTCTGGAGTTGTCGTAACTGGATGTGCAGGCATCCAGGCTTTGCTGAACCGTCTACAGAGCTCAGGAAGAAGAGATTCAATCTAATTCCCCAGGACCCTAAGCTTTTTAGAATGGGAAATTAGCATTTGCTACCACTTCTGGCCACCAGCAGCACGGATCCTGAGCACTGACTTTTCTTCTCTGCTAGGAAAATCCAAGATGGCTTCTTCCAGTACAGCACTACACTGAGTACCCGTTGAGTGCCGCCCTCTTCATCCAGGGGATTAGCTGGGTCTTCTGGATTCTCTTCCACATCTTCTACGTTAGTCCTGCCCCTTCCCTTTGCACTGCCATGTTCAGGAGCAGCTTCTCCCTGTAAACAGCAATGCCAGTCTGCCAGCCTCGGCCTCTCCTGCTACTGCAGGGCCTTGGGAAGCCTTCAGAGAACTGAAGAAGGTTACAATGTTGCTTGGCTCCCTTTTTGGGAACTTTGTAACTGGTCTGATGTTGCCCAGAATACAACAACCTTCTCTGTTATCACATGAAACTGGTTCTGCTTTCTCATCTAGGTGCCCTTGAGGCTAGTGATCTCAATTTCCTTCCAGACCTTTTCCTCTGTGTTCTCAAGCTGGCTTCATTTTGGCAAACTGAGTACGACTGCTCTGCCTATCTCAGCTTTGAATGCCTTCTCCGCTGAGCCTAATCATTCCTGGTTCTTGATTTAAAGAAAGAGGCTTATGTAAGATTCTCACTTGAACACTTAGAAGCCATTGTGGAGTTACTAACTGTCCTAATTTCAATATTTGATTGTTCTGCCTCAAAGAATAGAGAGATCCAGAGAGGTGGAGAGAACTGTAAGAGAGGCTAGTCAGTGGAATGGTCAGAACGCACACAATAGTGACTAATTAAGTTCGCCGTCTTATACACGGGTTGTGGTTTATGGCACCCTAAAACAGTTACAGACGTACCGTCCGAAGGCCCCAATCACTGTGCTGTGCGTCACACCTCTCAACAGGGCCAAGTGCTCTATGCACCGTTTGGTTGCTCTTCTATATTTTAGATACAGTTTAAAAGCGCCATAGCTGAGGGGCTGGGGAGGTGGCTCTGTGGCCATGCAAGTGCAACGACTTGAGTTTGAATCCCCCAAACCCACAGACATCCAGGTGTAGTAGCATGCATTTGTCTTCCCTGAACTCCTCTAGCACAATGGGATGCGGGAAGGAGAATCCCTAGTGGATGCAGCCATGTGCAAGGGACCCTGTCTCAAAGAAGATAGGAGGAGAGGACTGATACCCAAGGCTGTTTTCTGAACTCCATATGCACACTGCAACATGCACACACACTATTACACACAAAACACACACATTAAAAAACCAAAATGTATATAGTTGGGAAGAGGATTGAGTCAAAGATCTGAGGGTCTATAGTTCTAATACAGCTGCAGACCCAGATAGGGGGTGAGAAGTCATTAGTATGAATGTTGAATACCAATGATGAAAAATGGAGGCATGTGAGACACTTTAAGAAGTAATGGGTCATTATCACACGTGGAACAAAGCTTAAAGATGTGCGTGCGCATGCTCTTGCGCATGCGCACATCAAAATTCTCGGAGAGTAAAGTTTGCCGTCAGCACCTTGGACATGAACTTCCTGAGGGCAGCAGGGGGGCTTAGCTCACCTCGCTTTCTTGCCTTACAAAGCCTCCGTTACTAATGTCGGTGCTCAGTGTAAGTGCAAGGCGACTTCTCACACAGCAAGCGTTCCCTGCACACCTTCCTAACCTGAGGATCCTTATCTGACTGCAGGTATGTAAGCCGGGTGATCGTCAGTGACATGACTGGGAAGAAGAAATGGCATTTCCAGTGCGATTGTTGGCTGGCCGTGGACTTGGGCAACTGCGAGCGTGACAGGGTGTTCACACCAGCCTCCAGAAGCAAGCTCTCTTCCTTCAGGTATAGTTGAGACATCCCTGGCAGTGCAAACTTCTGTAGCACGTATACACAGAAAGCTCACACACATTTGTTTAAAAAAACAAAAAAACAGATGTAGTTGTGAAGAGGCTCGAACCTAAGATCTGAGGAATAGATTTCAGCTACCTCCTCCTCTTCCTCGTTGTCTTCCCATCAGTCCTTTGATTCACTGTGCTGGGCTTTTCTTGACATTTCCCCCCCCTTGGACCAAAGTTAGTGGTTGTAAGAGACCAAGCATGGGAGCTTACATAAAATGGCTAAATGGAAACCAAAGTGGCCCATTATGGGGAAAATTTAAAAAGCCCGCCACAGCGGTGCGGTGGCCCCGGAGGGGCTTCCACCGCTGTGGCGGGTCCCACATTCGGAGGGGGGGGAACTCTATAGTTCCAGCGGCCTGGGGGCCTTGGCAGCGACAGGCCCCAGTAACATGAGGAAGTCCTTGGTTCCAAAAGGGTTTATTGTCATGGCGGATGATAGACGACGGATCTAGGCATACCCCCAAAAACTCAGGGCAGTCTCGAGTTATATAGGGAGGGAGGAAGGGGGAGGATTGGGGGAGGATCTGGGGGAGGCATGTTTAATTTGCTCTGCCCTCTGGCCTTCATTAGTATGTAAATCCCTAGGGCCTGAGGCCTATAGCCTGGCCTATGTAATTCTATGGAGACCGAGACTGCTTTTCAGGATTCTGGGTTCTGGGGGGCGCCAAACTCCTGTCGGTTCTCATGTAGAATCCCATCTAGAATCTACAGAGTCTCGGGGTTCTAGACACCTGCTCCACCATGATCCAGGATACCCTTACGCAGTCCCACAGCCTGTGACCTTTTCTCAGGAATGTCCCCTTCTCCACTCTGTGGTAGGACCAAAGCTTCTGTTACTTCTTAGGAGCCCCTCCCATTCAATTGCTACAGAAGAAATCACCCCTCCAAAGCATGAGTTCAGTCCCTGGAACCCACATAGCATGAGGAGAGGATTGACCCCTTACAAGCTAGCCTCTGAACTCCCCACACTTGATACAACACATGTGCACCCACACACATGCAAAATAAATAGACAGGCAATTTATGTCTTCTGCCATTTAATTTCTCATTCCAGACACCTGTTCTCCTCCACGATCGTAGAAAAATTCACCCAGGATTATCTGTGGCTCTCGGTTGCAACTCGACATCCCTGGAACCAGTTTACAAGAGTCCAGCGACTCTCCTGCTGTATGACACTACTGCTCTGTGACATGATCATCAATGTCATGTTCTGGAAGATGGGTGGCACCACTACCAAGAGGGGAGAACAATGTATGTGTGAGCCCTGGTGTGTGTGTCCGCAGTGTGGTGTGCAAGCCCTGGCATGTGCTGTCCGCAGTGTGTGTGAGCCCAGGTGTATGCTGTCTGCAGTGTGTGCAAGCCCTGGTGTGTGCGAGCCCTGGTGTGTGCTGTCCGCAGTGAGTGACGCTCTGCCTGTGTTTCTGTCCTTACTTCAAGGCTTAGAAACTGAGTCACAGTGTGCCTGCATCAAGGCTTAGAAACCGAGTCACAGTGTGCCTTAGTTTCCCATCCATTGTCAGCACCTTCTCTGGGTGCTCTCGTCCTCTTAGGAACCTAGCAGGATCTTAGCTACCGTGGGACACTTTCTAACCCCAGAGAAATTCCTCCATAAGTAGCTCTAACCCAGACCAGAGAAAGTTAATGCCACGGCTTTCCTTCAGTAGGTAAATTTGCTGTGACCTTGTCAGAGCTGCTTGTCAGCATCCAGACCTCCATCATCCTCGTCCCTATCCATCTCGTCTTTGGGCGGCTCTTCCAGTTGATTCAGCCACCAGAAGCTCTGCCCCCGCTTCCTCTCAGCCAGGCTGCCTGCCCCTCAGCTCTGGTTTGTGAGGCCCCATCTCTTATACAGGTGGTCAAGGTAAGCTCGGTAACTTTGTTATATGTAAAGTAACTCCCCCCCTTCTGTGATGTGGGAATGAATCATGGGAGATTTCTTGGGAGGCGAACAGCATCCTGGTCCCTTTGATGTCTTTCCCCTAATTCCTGTCCACTGAGATGTGATCAGTTATAGTCTTAGCTTTCTTCCAAGGTTATAAACTGTTCTAGAGACTGAGTGGAGTGATGTGTACTACCCCAGAACTGTTTTAGTTTTTGATGTCTTAACAAACTGTCCCTCTCATTTTGTCATCTCTCATAGAAATGGTTTTGAAGAGGCACTGTGGGGTGACTCTTCTCTGACAAAAAAAAAAATTTAAAATGAAGCATTGACTTTCTTTACACTAAGCATATGCCCCTGAGTACAAAAAGCAGCCTCTGTCTGTAATTGTGCCCAGTGCTGAGCTGACGCAAGACAGACTGAAGTCTCTCAACTCGGTTCCTTACCCAGGAATTAAAGGAAACTGTGGGATTTCTGCTCAGGAGAAGTACACATCTGCTCTCGGAGTGTGAACAGTCTTTGTGGAGTTCTTGTGACATTAACAAGCTGGTGAAGCTTTTATCAGGCCTCATTTACTCTCACCTAGAAGATCAAGGCTGTCACCAGCAGACACAGTCCCACTGGGAAGACGGTAAAGTCCGGCAATTTCGGTCACTCCTGTAGCTTCACCTCTGCACCCCCCCCCGCACTTATCTCATGTTCTGACTTGGTTTTTGCCTTTCAGCCCAAGGCAATTCATGCTTAGCTGATTTCATTAACCTTTCAACCTTGATATTATAGCTTCGGTCTCTTGAGATCCTCACATCCTGGCGATAAAACTTAGAGTACTAACTGTAAAAACGTAAAAGTAGTCAGACCCCCCCCCACTCCATCAGCCGAAGTCTGATGTGTCATCATTTTCTTCCCTCGAGTGGAGAGGTGGCAGGACTTGTGGATTTTGAAAGCGGCTTGGGCCCTTGCTAGTCTAGGGTGCATGTGCCGCAGCTCTGGTGGGAAAACTCAGTAAGGTGTTGAAAGTGTCGAGGTCCAAGTTTAGGACGGTACAGCAGTGATGTACGTCTGCACTCTCAGGAGGGAACAGTGCTGTGGGTGCCGGAGCCTGTCTCCATGGGTACCGGGAGATATTAGCTTTCCTGTTACCTAATAAACTGTTCTCCTCCATCACCGATCTCTACTCATTGAAACCTCCCATTCGTGAACATGCCAACCTGAAATAAATCCACAGGGGTGTCTGAAAATCATTACCATTTGTGCCGCTACCTTCTCCAAGTTCTGCAGAGACTGAAATCGCACTTAGATGCTCTTGGTGCTGCTCAGGATCGCCAGCCTCATGACTTCTCAGAAGCAGTCAGCCAACTTCAAAACCTCCGGGAACTCCTGGAGACACAGACCCTTCCCAGGGAGCCAGGGCCATGCAAGTAAGCACTGTTGCTACCTGTCAACTTTCTGAGCCTCTCCCCGTGTCAGCGGGAGATAATTTCAACTTCTATTCTCCAGGCATTCAACCTGTTTCCCCATCCTAAGCCCAGAAGAAGGGAAGAAGCCCATGTCGTTTTGCCTGTTCAGGTGGTTGAAGTACAGCTGTTGGCTCCTTCTTGGTGTCATCAGCCTGGCTTCAGCCTTTTTTATAACACTCTATAGCTTGGAGCTGAACAAAGACCAAGCCACCAGCTGGGTTATTTCAATGATGCTGTCGATACTACAAGACATCTTTATCAGCCAGCCGATAAAGGTACGTGACTAATGAGACCAGCCGTTACAGCAGGAGGAAGGGAGAAACCGAGGCCAAATGTTTTGACAATTAGCAAATAAATCACCAGGCAGAGTGATATTTGTTAGAGATATATTCGGAGGAATGACAGAAAATAATCTAGCAGCTAATCGATTAGCATACATACGGCAGAAAAAAATTGAAGATAGGGATTTTTAAAAAAAAAAAATCAAACACTGGCTGGTGAGATAGCTCAGGTTAGGGCACTTGCTGTCTGACCTCAAGTCTACTTAAGTTTGATCCAACAACCCACATAAAAATAGGAAACAGGGCTGGAGAGATGCTCAGAGGTTAAGAGCACTGGCTACTCTTCCAGAGGTCCTGAGTTCAATTCCCAACAATCACATGGTGGCTCACAACCATCTGTAATGGGATCTGATGCTCTCTTCTGGTGTGTCTGAAGACAGCTATGGTGTACTCATATAAAAAATAGATAAATCTTTAAAAGAAAGAAAGAAACGGAAGGAAGGAAGGAAGGAAGGAAGGAAGGAAGGAAGAAAGGAAGGAAGGAAGGGAGGGAGGGAGGAAGGAAGGAAGAAAATAGGAAACAACTCCATGAAGTTGTCCTATGATTTCCACAACACCCAACACACACATACATACACACACACACACAATGGTAATATTACTGCTCATAATAACTAGAATAGTGACAATAACTTTTTGAAAAAAAACAATGACAAGCCACTTTTTAAGAAACATAAATGGTTGGGAGGCAGAGGCAGGTGGATTTCTGAGTTTGAGGCCAGCCTGGTCTACAGAGTGAATTCCAGGACAACCAGGGCTACACAGAGAAACCCTGTCTCAAAAAAAAAAAATGGAGCTAGAAAGATGGCTCACAAGTTAAGAGCACTCATTGCTCTTGCAAAGGACCCATGTTTGATTCCCAGCTCCCACAGGGTGGGTCACGGGCATCCCTAATTCCTCAATGTGATAACTTCTTTCTGACCTTTGCGGGTACCAGGCATGCAAGTGGTATAAAATAAGCCCTTAAGAAAGTTAAGAAACATAAAGACTTTTAAATGTTTAATTAAGGAAAGGTCAAAACACACCCAAGTATAGAAAAGTAGCCTAGTGAATTCTCAAGTTCTGTTACCCAACATCAAAAATCACCAATGATGGTTAATATTCCTTCATCTATTTTGGAAAAAAAAAATCCAAAGTTCACATGACCTTTTTCTGGATATCTCTAAAATTTGTCTGTATGTCTCTAAAAATTAAACTTTTCAAATATAAAATCGTTATGACACCTAAGTTGACAGTTTCTTAACATGGAAAACCCACACAAGAACCTGGTCAGGTCATTCAGCTGCAAAGGAACTGAATGTGATCCCTGGACCCTACGTAGAAGGAGAGAAGTCACCCCGATTGCCTCATGGGTGCCATGGCCACAAGCTAACATAAACATGTAAATAAATGGGACGGGCAGTTAGTCCCCGCCCCTCGCCTGCACGTATGACGTCATCTTCTGGGGCCCACAACACTTGTTCATTGGAGTTCCCCTGACTCTTGTCTCCAGGTGATCTTCCTGACATTGCTGTTCTCCCTGATGGCGAACCACATGCCATGGCTTAACAAAGACAAGGAACAACACGCCAGGAGAATTGTAGCACTTTGGGGTAATTCAAATAGTTCCAGATACTGTTTAATTTTACAAAGAGCAAAGCAACAGTTCGTGCTGCCTCTGCGATCCGACGTACTCAGTCAGAGACCAGGTCACCTGGGAGACTTCTCTTCCTTCTCTGCCCAGGAGCCCAGTGTCCCAAACTCATCTATTCCTCTGGAAGCCAGTGCACCCTCTCAGTGCTTCTGTGCTTGGCTCCATCTGTCCTCCCTCTGAGCCCCAGATGGTATTTGTACCGCCTGTCATCTCCAGGACTGAGCTGTCTGGCTGTCCCACAAGCCTACACTTGTGTATATTCATTCTCATTTCAGTCAAGTGGCATTACCCAACAATCCACACTTGTTAGCATGATCCTAAGTGTCCTTATTCCCTACATCCAGTCCCCAAGCCTGAGGGGGTCCAGCCTGGAAAGAAAACAGACCCGAAACTACTCACAGCCCATGGAGGAATATTGCAAACATAGCGTTGAGCCAAAAGGTGCAGGGTGCAAAAATGTTAGCACAGTGTTATACATGTGTTGGCTCGAAGACATATGCGTGCGTATCCCCTATAAGTTTATCTGTAAACTCTGAAGAAAGGAATGGGAATAATCTCTAAAGCTCAGGAAAGGGTCGCCTCTCTGAGGGAAGGAAGGGGTAATAGCAAAATGGAGTATGTGATGGACATAGAACTACCAATCACTTCTTTAAACCTACCAGTGGACATGCTAAGAGCTAAGCACTCCAATCTTAGTGGGGTCTTAAGAATTAACAATCTCACTCGGAAGTGTCTTTCTTGTCCTTATTTAATTTCTTGTGCATTTGAACTATTCCCTTTATGTGAACTGACTTCTTTTTCCAAGTTCTTGTCCCTGCATCTGAAATTCTATGACCTGCCCTTCAAAACAAAGGTAGCATGGGGTGTAGTTGAGGCCAGAGTGTTTACTGGCATATGAAAGGCCTTAAGCTGTGGCTCCCAGCACTGCAGAGAAAAGCCAAATTCCCATTTCTCTGCAAAGGCATCTCCAACTTTCCTTGGGGAAACTTTGTTTATTCTCCAGTGATCTCATGGCACTCGTGCGTGCATGCATGTGATTTCTGTCACTTCCCCTCTCTCCGTCTCTTTCCCTGCCCTACCTCTCACCTCTTGTTTTGCTTATGAATCTCCACATTCTTCTGCTCGGTATAGTCTTTAAACCAAACCATTGTCACTTCCTGGATCCTTCGGCAATGTTCTGTGTTGGACCTTCTGCCAGAATTTGCATCGTATAGAAGCCCAGATGATTTCTTCTTGTGTTGAACTTGAGAACAACATTGAATCCCCGGTCTCTAGTTTAAGATAGACGCATGCAGCAAATTAGTGTACGTCCATTGAATCTAATTCTTTAAATGAAAAGGCTAGGGATGTACTGAGTGGTAGAGCACTTGTCTGGTGCGTGTGAGACACTGCATTGGATTCCCAGCACTGAAAAGATTCTTGTTGTTGTGTTGTGCTAGCGTATGTCTGTAATCTGAGCATCTGGAAGGTTGGCCTCACATTTATGATCTCTGCCTCGGATGTAAGGCATTTTCTCAATTAGTGATCAATGTGGGAAGGGCCCAGCCCATTGTGGGTGGTACTATCCCTAGGCTGGTGGTCCTGGGTTCTATAATAAAGCAGGCTGAGAAAGCCATATGAAGTGAGCCAGCAAGCAGCACTTCTCCATGGTCTCTGCATCAGCTCTTGCCTCCAGGTTCCAGCCCTGTTGGAGTTCCTGTCCTGACTTCCTTTGGTGATGAACTGTGATGTGACAGTGTAAGCAGAATTAACCCTTTCCTCCCCCAGCTGGCTCTTTGGTTGTGATGTTTCATTGCAGCAATAGAAACCCTGACTAAGACAAGTTGGAACCAGTGTAGTGGGGTATTGCTGTGACAGACCTGACCATGTTTTGGGAAGGATTATGGAAGGACTTTGGACTTTGGACTATGGAAAAATCATTGAGTGTTGAGAGCTCAGTTGGATCTTCTGTGGGAGCTTGGAGGATAAGAATGTGAGAACAGTGCAGAAGCAGATGGAGGCCTGGCTTGTGAACTTTCAGAGAGAAGATTTAAGACTCTTATCAAGGCTATTTGCTATTTTGATGTAAGATTCTGTGTTTCCGGTCAGCTGGGGCTGAAGAATCAGCTGTGATTAGCAAGATACCAGAACTACTGAAGTGAAACATTTACATTACTGGGACAATTGATGCTGGTTAGCTGGAGCTAAGAAATTAGCAGTGATTAAGAAGAGACCAGCATCACTGAAGTGAAATCTGGCAAATGTTTTTAAAGAGCACAGAGAAGCTGTGTTCCAGAACTGGTTGAGGTTGTATCTAGTGTTGGCAGGCAAATTTGATAGTTCAAGAGTCACCCAGGTGGTACTGGTTTTGAAGGCTTGAAGGAGTCATGGAGAGCAGCTGAGGCTTGGCCCTGTGAGAGGCCAGGAGAGGCCATCGGTAAAGGTGCAGCCTCAGTGGCAGTGGGAGGCCCAGAACTGAAGTGGTCATACAAAGAAGTTGAGCCTTGGCACTGTAAAGGAAGCCCAGGAGAGGCTATTGGTGAAGTGCACCCCAGGTGCCGCAGAAGATCCCAACATTTGGGAGATGCCAGTACCATGGGATGACCACCAAGAACAGCAGCAGCAGTGGAGTAGAGCCAGCCTGAGCTTAGAAGACAAGCTGTGTGTGCTGTAGAGGGCAGAGCCGGAGATGTGACTCAAGCTCTTTGGAGGAGCCCAGAAGATAAGTGGATCTCAGACATTAGACAGTTGGATTTTGGTTTTGCTTTGATTTGACTGCGACTGTGCCCTGAAGTAAACGACTCCTTTTCTCTCTTTAAGTGAGAAAGTATTTTTCTGGAGCCCGCAATGAAAAGACTCTGGACTTGAAAAGAGCTTGGATATTTTAAAGGGACCAGAATTTTTTTTTACATTTTTTTATTAATAATTTACTTTACACCCTGATGGCAGCATCCCCTCTCCCTCCTCTCCTGCCAGTCCCTCTCCTTCACCTCCTCCACCTCTGCTCCGATCCTCCCCGGCTTCTCCCTAGAAAAGGGAAGGCTTCTCATGATTACCAACCAGCCTTAGCATATCAAGTTGCAGTAAGACTAGGTGCATCTTCTTCTATTGAGACCAAACAAGGGAGCCCAGTTAGGAGAAAGGCATCCAATTCAGTCAGTGCAGTCAGAGACAGCCCCTGTTCCCACATCAGGACCCAGCTACACAACTGTTAAGTCTGTGCAGAGAGCCTAGGAGGGACCAAAATTTTAATGTGCTTGAATTTGTAAAGACTGTGTGTCTTTTAAGGTTTTTGGTTCTAATGTATGTGATCTTGGGGATAAATAAGAAAGGAAAGGTTGTAGCTTAATCATAATGTGTTTGTGTGGCGAGTTGACAAGGGCTTGGTTGTACTGGCTGGTTTTGTGTGTCAACTAGACATAAGCTAGTCATCAGGAAGAAAGGAGCCTCAGTTGAGGAAATGCCTCCATGAGACACAGCTATAAGGAAGACGTTTTCTCAATTAGTGATCAATGAGGAAGGGCCCAGCCCATGGTGGGTGGGGCCATCCCTGGGCTGGTAGTCCTGAGTTCTAAAAGTAGGCATGCTGAGTAAGCCAAGAAGCCGAACCCCTCCATGGCCTCTGCATCAGCTCCTGCCTCCAGGTCCCTGCCCTGCTTGAGTTCCTGTCCTGACTTCCTTCAGTGATGGACCATGATCTGGAAGTGTACGCTAAATAAACCCTTTCCTCCCCAACTTGCTGTTTAGTTATGGCACTTTCATCACAGCAAGAGAGACCCTGAGTAAGACAGAGACATTTTCAGGAAAAGGGAGAGGGAGGAGGAGTGAGAGAGAGAGCACTCCTGGGCTGTGTGTTATGGCACCGAGGTTCACAGGTGGTAGACAAGCACCATACTTAGATTTAACTTTTCTGGAAACTGATTTATATTGTCTTTTATAAGTTTGGTTTCCAATGGGTTGGAATTTTTCATTGGTGATGTTCTGTTTGTTTGTTTGTTTTTTCCCGAGACAGGGTTTCTCTGTGTATCCCTGGCTACCCTGAAACTCTCTCTGTAGACCAGGCTAGCCTCAGACTCACAGAAGTCTGCCTGCCTCTGCCTCCCAAGTTCTGGGATGAAAGGGGGTACCACCTGCATGGATTGGAATTTTAAAAAGAAAAATCCAGGCCTTCTTCCCTAGACAGAGAGGTGCTACTTAGAGAGCATCTTATCTGCTCCAGCGTTCACCAGGAAACGCCTGCAGTAGATGCTCAACGGTTAGTTAGCATGTCATGAAATCTAACATTTGTTTAGCCTGTATTTCAATATCTGACAGCAAAGTGTCCTTCATCGGCGCCTGGGTTGAGAGACAAGAACAATCCCATCTACACTGCCCCAGCAATGAACAACCTAGCCAAGCACACACAGAAAGCCTGGAAAAAGCAGCTCTTCAGACTGACTGGTGGTACCCTGGGTATGACGGGGCGGTGGAGTGGGAAGGGTGGGGTAGAGTAAGACAGAAAACAGGGAAGGGAGAAAAGGTGTCTTTTAAAATGAAATTTGGAATTCTAACAATTCAAGTGGGGTGGGGCATGCGCACACATTGGTTTGAACTATTTGAAATTGCCCACTTCGACTATATTTTTGGTTCGTTGGGTTTTGGCTTTTTCAAGACAGTTTCACTGTATATCCCAGGCTGTCCTGGAACTCACTCTATAGACCAGGCTAGCCTCACACTCAGAAATCTACGTGCCTCTGGTTCCTGAGTGCTGGGATTTAAAGTATACACCACTACATCCCAGCTTCCTTTTGACTGGTTCTGGCCTGCAGGGGTGAATGAGCATAAGGGAAGTAAAAAGGGTTCCGAGTTGGAAGATAACCACTTGAATATGAATCTTTGTTGTTGTTGTTGTAAACCAGTACAAATCCTCTTCCTGACCCTGCTGATGACTACCGTCTACTCTGCAAGGGACCCCAGTCGATTTTTCCTCCACCGTGCTATCTGGAAGAGGTTTTCTCACCGTTTCTCAGAAATCAAAGCCATAAAGGATTTCTACCCCTGGGCCAACCACACCCTCCTTCCTAACCTATACGGGGATTACAGAGGTAAGGACAATTCTGGGGCAGAAGGGAGGAGAGTTAGTCCTCCTGAGAGCCCTTCTACAACCCATGGAAAACTAGAGAAAGGTCAGCCAGCTTCTTGATATGACCACACCTCTGTGGACAGTCCAAAGTCCTGGGATTCCATCCCAGAAGGTTCAGGTAGCGACTCGTGGTGACCCATGGTCTGATTCCTCTGGTCCAGGTCACAGGGATGAGAAATGTGTCACTTAAAGCACACAGAGTAGCTGCAGGGTCCCTGGGACTCAGCCACACATGGCGCATGGGATCGGGCTCTAATAAAACCGATCTTTACGTGACTGTGTATCCAACTCTTCTGTGCGCTGGCCCAGCTTAGTCCCACAAACATACACTGAACATCTACAGCCCTCATTTTAAAAATGCTCATAACGGGCTCTGTGTCTTTAAAGAACCTCACTGAACAAGGCTCTGCCACGCTTTGCCCTGCAGCAGGCGTAAGTGCTTAGTCCGCTCTCCCCTCAGACACGTGGTCACTGTTTTCTCCGGTAGGTCTAGGTCGTCCAGCTTGGCTGTGACATAACTGTGTCCTGATGAGGAGCTGAGTTCTGGGAATCATTTCTTCCTTTTACCTGAGGGTTGGTAGCTTCATGGTGAGATTCTGTGTTCCTGAGGAGAATCTGAAGCCGTATGTGTTCGACTTCGCGCGCAGTTTAGAACAGATAACAGCAGACCAGACGGTTCTACCCGGGGTGGGGAGGAGGGGGGGTAGGGAAGAGGGCAAAGGTGGGGGGAGAGAAACTGAAGAAGATGGTGGAGAAAGAGAAGTAGAGGCCGGCCATGAGCACGTGGAGAGAGGAGGAAGGGAAGGGGGCAAGGGCGAGGGGACAGAGAGAAGCTAGAGGCAAGAGAGCAAGACAACAAGAGAGAGAGGAGGAGGTAAGCAGCCCCTTTTATAGTGGGCAGGCCTACTGGCTATTGCCAGGTAACTATGGGGTGGAGCATAGCTGGGTGTTGCCAGATAACTGTGGAGGTGGAGTTTAGACAGAATACTAACAGGATGTTCATCTTAGCATACTTCCAGCTTCCCCAGAGTGCACTTGGTGTGTGAACACTCTTACAGAAGGCAACTCCTACTCATGGCACGGTGACATTTTTTTTTTTAAAGTACAATTTTGGATAACAGTTTTGAGGCCCAGAGAACATTCTATTTGTGATACATTACTCTGAGCTGAATAAAATATTGACAAAATGATCAGAACCCAGGATGGCAAAAGTGGAGGCCATTGTAGGATTGGGCTCCTTGGCTGTAGTATAGCACCACGGCGTAGAGAAGATGGACAGCCTGCTCAGACTCACGCCCACTTACCAGCATGTAATCCCGGGTAGGCGTCTCGGGCTTCTCAAGCATCCTCGGCCTTGCCCTGTACCACAGATCTGAGTGCTCAGAACAGTCCCCGGCACAGAGTACTGACAGAGTTAGCGCTGCCTGTCAGCAGTGGCGACATGAAGCTTTGCTATTGAGCTATTGAACTGACAGCAGCTACCCAGACGGACACACTGACAAATGCAACAGACCTCAGGATGAAGGGAAAGAGCACACCACAGATGGTGTTAATAATCCTGGCACTCAGGAGGTAGAGGCAGGATCCTGGCCAGCCTGGGCTACTAGGCAAGATCTTGTTCTAAGAAAGAACAATAGTCAAATAGGCATGGGGTCAAAAGCAGTTAAAATGACACTAGCAGATCAGGCGTGGTAGCACACGCCTTTAGTCCCAAAGCGCAGGAGGCAGAGGTAGGTGGATCTCTGAGTTCAAGGCCAGACTGGTCTACAGAGTGAGTTCCAGGACAACCAGAGCTAGTCCTGTCTGTTCCAGACAGACAGGCAGGCAGAAAAACCCTGCTTCAAAAAACCAGTGTGTGTGTGTGTGTGTGTGTGTGTGTGTGTACATGGGTGTGGGTGTGTGTGTATGTGAATGTGAGTAGGTAACATGGTTTACCTACTCTTTAAAAAAAAAAAATCATTGTTTTCAAAATGGCTCCAGCTCAGTCTCACCGTGCGGCTCTTCTGCTCCAGCCATTGACCTGACCTTTGGGAGAACAGTCAGAACTAAGCCTGCGAAGATGTTCGGGGAACCGATCCTTGGGAAGCCCACAGAGCTGCAGCCAGATCAAACCCAGCTGACCTTTGCATTTTCTCATGCACCATTGTAGGGACATTTGTAGGAAAACAACCGAGTGACAGTAAATGATGGCAAGCTACAAGCAGTGTCATGAATTTGGCTTCTGCTCCAGTTTACCTGGGAGTGTCCCCACCAGTATATATGAGGCCAACTCTACTCCATTTTATCCATTTCCTATACAGAGGTCTGCCGTATAGACGCTTCTATAATCAGCTAAGACTGTTAATACCTACCTCACACATGGGCAAATGTAGCTGAGAAATTTCTTGGAAGAGATTTGCTAGTTGAGAGTATGTACACGTTGTTTAACTTATTTTTGATACCATGTGTGTATTCTGCCTGTATGAATGTACAAGTACTGTATGTATAGGCAGGAGTCCGTGGGTGTCGGGGGGAGGGTTGGATCCCCTGGAACTGGAGGTACAGGTAGTTGTGGGCCACCATGTGGGTGCTGGGAGTTGAAACCCAAGTCCTCTGGAAAAGCAGAAACTACTCTTTATCATCGAACCATTTTTCTAGCCCCCATATACAGATTTTTTATGTTTATTTTTGTGTATGTATGTATGTATGTATGTATGTACCACATGTGTACAGGTATCACTCAACTTGGGTGCTGAGGACCAGACTGGATCTTCTGGAAGAGTAGTACATTCCCTTAACAGTTGGACTATCCCTCCAGCACCCTACACTTTTAATTTTTAAAAGGTAATGCCAGGGATGGAGAGATGGCTAAGCGGCTGAGGGCATCATGACTCCTCTTTCCGAGGACCTGGATTCAAATCCTAGCACCCACCCAGCTCATAACTGTCTATAACTCCAAGATCTGACACCTTCACACAGACATACATGCAGGCAAAACACCAATGCACACAAAATGGAAATAATAATTTTAAAAAAAAAGATTATTTCCAGGCCTGGAAAGTTGACTCATCAGTTAAGAGCTCTCGTTGCTCTTGCAAAGGACTCAAGTTCAATTCCCAGCACCAGTGTGGTGGCTCACACTGTCTATAACCCCAGTCCCAGGAGATCCGAGACCCTCTTCTGAACTTGGGCTCCAGACATGCATGTAATATGCATACATACACGAAGGCAAAACACACAACCAAGTAAAACAGTCTAAGTATCACCAAGTGGATGTGACAGTTCATAATGTCTGAAATCCAGCAGTTAGGAAGGAGAAGTCAGCCTGGGCTACATAGTGAAACTATCTCAAAACGAAGCAAAAAAGAAACAAGGGCTTGGTTTGTAGGTCTGTGGCCAGTCACCTGCACTGGGTAAAAAAAAAATGTTTCCAGATTGTTCTTATGGTATCAGTAAAGGACCAGAGTTGCCTACAGCCCCAACCACACGGTAGAAGCATTTCCAATCTATGCAAAGGGCTCTGGAACAGTGAAAGGCTTTGCGGCTACCTTGGGGGAGGGGATGGGGGGGAGCGATGTGAGTTAGAACTAAACCAAGCAGCATTTTCCGCTTTCATAAAAGCAAACCTCCTTTCATTCTTCATCTCTTCCATGTTTTTAAATTATAAAACTGAGTCCCCTGTTCAAAATCCAACAGGGACATTTAGAATAAAATGTCAAATCCCTCCCCCCAAGCTGACCTGCTCCGTGCAGCCCTTAGCTACGTCTGTCACTTCCTCTCTTCCCCTAGGACCCTCATCAGCTGTATTACAGCCACTTGAGCTCCTGTGGCATTAAATGCACCAATCACGCCGTCACCTTGGGGTCTTGGAACCTGCTGTTCCCGTCTGGCATCCACATGACACTTCTGACTCTACTAGGGTCCCTCAATGCCAAACCATCAGAGAAACCTTCCTTATCAGCACCCCTTAGTTCACAAAGCACCACTTCCTACCTTGCGTATTGCCGGTCCTTGTTCCTCACGAGTGTGGTCTTGGGCAGGAATGCCCCTGTATCTGTTTGTTCCTGACACCTAAACATGGCTTGGCTCATGTCAACACAGAAGGTGTGTTGTTGAAAGAAAGAATGAACGGGTAAATGGATGTGGGTTGTTTTTTTTTTGTTAAGTTCTTCAGTGTTGCTCTTTAAATGAGATACTTTATTTCTGCACCTGTTGTAAGTAGTATTACACTATTATTAGATGTACACTATTATTTTGTGCCCAGTGACCCTAAGTTGGCGTTTTTAACTTAATTGTTTTCCTACTGATCCTATTACTTTATCTAGATAATACATGTCGTTTATAAATTATCACACAGTTCCAGTTGGTCTTACACCTCTTTTGTCTGCTTGAGTTGGTTCATGTCTCTGAATGTTTTCAGAACTGCTGATAAAGTGTACCCGGGCTGCCTCAGTCAGTCAGCAACCAGACAGTTGTCTTATTGTTTGTTGTATTGTTTGTTTTCTCCCTAGGATTTATTACTGACGGGAACTCCTTCCTTCTGGGCAACGTTTTGCTCCGCCAGATCCGCACTCCTAATGACATACTCTTCCCAGTGTCTCCCCACGAACAAATGAAGTCGTATCCCCAACATCAGGAGGACAAAGAGAACTATGGATCTGGCTGGGTGCCCCCGGATACAAACATCACAAATGCAGACAGTATCTGGCATCATCAGAGTCAGGAGTCTCTGGGAGGCTATCCCATCCCAGGGGAGTTAGCCACTTACTCAGGAGGAGGCTATGTCGTAAGGCTCGGAAGAAACTCCAGTGCTGCAGCCAGGTGAGTGTGTGCCCTGGGCAAGGGACCCATCACAGGACAGCCAGGAACTGGGCCCAACTGAGAGTCCATCAGCTGTGGTGCTTCTGTACTGGCCCTGGTACTCATACACACTTCTTTACACTCTAAAGAAATAACACTCCTCCCCCTTTTTTAAATTATTCATTGGTTCGTATGGGTGTTTTACTTGCATTTCATATCTGTTTACATGTGTTTAGTGCTCTCAGAGGCCAGAAGGGTGTTGGGGTGGATCCCCCGAGACAGGAGTTACAGACAGTTCCAAGCTGCCATGTGGGTGCTAGGAATCAAATCCAGGAGGACCTCTGGAAGAGCAGCCAGTATTCTTAACCACTGAGCCATCTCTCCAGCCCCTGGAACTGCATCTTTAAATTTAGAAATTTCTTGGTCAACTCCAAGTTACAGATTATGTTTTGTTTTTGTCAAAAACAAAAGACTTTTTTTAATCTGGAAAGAGATTTTTAATTTCAATTCTAGGGGTAGTTGAACTTAGGTGAATCTTAGACACACGGTGATCTTCAAATATAAATGGAAACACTAGGCAGAGGCAGGCGGATTTCTGAGTTTGAGGCCAGCCTGGTCTACAGAGTGAGTTCCAGGACAGCCAGGGCTACACAGAGAAACCCTGTCTCAAAAAACCAAAAAAAAAGGAAACATTACCCTTTGTAAGCCATGATATGGACATCAGTCTGGATGCCCAAACTAAGTTGTTAGGAGTTTGCAGAATAGGTTAATACACAAATCCTGATGGTCTTTGTTATCGTGAACAAAAAGGTCTAAATTGTCTTCTGAGCTGGCTCAGCAGGTAAAGGTCCTAGCCGTCATGTCGGAGGCCCCGAGATCATGATGACTCTTGGACCCACATGATACATAACTGACCCCTTGAAGTCATCCTCTGACCTCCACATACTCACTGTGGCACACCCCCCCCCAATAAATACAATAACAATTTAAAACAAAACTGGTTTCAAAGTTATAGCAGCAAGGAACTACTCAAAGACAAGGTCAATCAAATAATTATGTTTATACCGCTTTCAACTCTGAGTACCCGATAGGATACTCTTCAGTTTGGAGATTTAATGTTTCAAATAGTAGTGGACAGGGTTTATAAACAAGTCCTGCCTCACAGATTAAATGGCAAATACAGTTTCCTTGGTCTCTACCCTTGTTGTGAGTGTCTTGCTTCTTAGTTAACTATCCACGTTATCACCATGTGACTTTGGGAGTGACTAGTCATGAAGTCTTTTATAGGAACACCAGATCAAGGGATGAGGCTCCTCGTGTGGTCTGTGACAGAGTGGTGCTGTTCTCCACTGCGTTATTGAACGGCTCTGCTTCCCTGTGTCTCCAGGGCTCTGCAGCATCTGGAGCAGAGGCGCTGGCTGGACCACTGCACAAAAGCCCTCTTTGTGGAATTCACCGTCTTCAATGCTAACGTGAATCTGCTCTGTGTGGTGACCCTTGTCTTGGAATCCAGTGGTGTGGGTACGTAGCCCTTCTCTCTTGCTCTGCCACTGGCTGCCTCAGGGCAAGGCAGCCTTTACTGATCATACACCATTCATCCAAGTAAACTTAATTGAGTACTCAGGAGTATGGCTTTTTATTTTTCTATGTGTATTGGTGTTTTGCCTGCATACATACCTGTGTAAGGATGTTAGATCCTGGAACTGGAGTTACAAACAGTTGTGATCTGCCATGTGGGGCTGGGAGTTGAATCAGACCCAGAAGTATGATTTTTTTTTTAAATCAAATAGTTCAACAGCCTTTTTACTTCCCACTCCCCAGATGCTACTTTTAGTTTCATCTGATATTAAATATTTATTATATTTTTAAAAAAATTTTTTGAGACAGGATCTCTCTGCATAGTCCTGGATCTCAAGAACTTGCTATGTAGACTAGGCTGGCCTTGTACTCACAGAGATCTCTCCTCCCTGCCTCCTGAGTGCTGAGATTAAAAGCATGGATCACTACACCAGACTTTCAAATGTTTTGTTTATTCATTCATGGATTTTTGGGTTTTTTTTTTCTGCAGAGATATGTATTTTAATAGCAATTGTTCCCATTTTCCAATAGACAATATGTCTGACTTCCCAGCCAGCCCTTGGGAGGCCCCAACCACTCAGATTTTTGGTTTTAAGTGTTACTTTTTCTATGAAGAGGATTTAGCTTTTGTATTCACATGGCTGTGGCATGTGCACACCTCACACATGGCCCCAGCATCCATCTCCCACTGCTTTCTTTGTCTTCATCATTGAGCCTTTGCCATTGTCATAGCATTGCCAGGGTACTCAATGACAACTGTGATCTTTGTCAGAGGGGCATCTCACAGATGATTAGGTGCTAACTGGTACGTTCCTTTTCGGGAAGTCTGCATTGATCTAACTCCCTTCTTCCTGCTCTTTACCGTAGGACTGACTGACAGGTATTCTCCCCTTAACCACTGTGTATTGCTATTAATTGGGGAGCATTTCCCTCCCAGACCAGCAGAGCAAGCAGCTTCTACCTGCTCTCTGAACTCAGTGGTTCTCAGCCTTCTTAATGCTGTGACCCTTTAGTACGGCTCCTTGTGTTGAGGTGACCCCGAACCATAAAATTATTCCATGGCCGTTTCATAACTGTAACTTGCTACTGTCATGAATCATAATTTAAATATCTGATATGTGATACCCAAAGGGTCTCAAACCACAGGCTGAGAACCACTGCTCTAAATGCCCCTGAGAGCTTCCTGGGGTTCTTAGAGTCTTGTTTAACTATCAAAGACAAAGGTAAAGGGGGCACTTAAAACTTGAGATTTAGCTGTACAAAGTAAGAAAACTTAGTTCCTAAATGTTCTTTCTGTTTCCAGGGGTACATCTCTGTTCCAGTGTTTCAGGGTTAGAATTCACAAAACCTTTCACAAAATTATGAAAAGTCTATAAAACCATAAATCTGAAGCCAGGCGGTGGTGGCACACACCTTTAGTCCCAGCACTTGGGAGGCAGAGGCAGGCGGATTTCTGAGTTCGAGGCCAGCCTGGTCTACAGAGTGTGTTCCAGGACAGCCAGGACTACACAGAGAAACCCTGTCTAGAAAACCCAAATAAAAAACCCAAAAAAACAAAAACAAAAAAACAAAACCATAAATCTGCACCTTCTCCTATCCTTTAAGGTTGCATCTGAAACCTTGTAACCCATCTTCACATAAGCATCCAGCATTCTTGGGACATCAGTACTTTTATTTTGATGTCTGCAGCCGTTCTAAGTTGAGCAGAGGAACACCTGTTACAGGTGTGAAGCCAATGCTTGTCCCTCCAGCTGAGGTCCTGCTCTGCCAGCTTTAGTGAGATGGACATTTTCCTAGTAGCTTACTGACTCATCTAATGTTCTGGGTATTTCTACAGGAAATACGAAGTAGAACAGGGAGACCGAAGTGTTTGAAGTTGATGACACAGAGCAGCTGGGTTGTTTTGTTTTATGAAAAGGACAAAAGCTTAGAATCTTGACTGCAGGTGTTCTTCCTCTCAGGGACTTTCTTCACCTCCCTGCAACTGGACAGTTTAACTTCCCTTCACCCATCAGAGAGGGGCTTTGCCTGGATTATCTCACAAGTCGCCTACTACCTTCTCGTCTGTTACTACGCCTTCATCCAGGTAAAGTGAACATGTCAGATATATGCACAGCCAACAGACAAACCCTCTCTGGAGGGCTTCATCATGACACAGCACTACACATACAGTTGATATTTTGGTCCTTTTTCCAAGGCCTGGATTCAGAGGCTGACTGATGGCTTCCAAGTAGAATAGCTTACTCAGTTCTGGCATGTTCAAAGAATTGAGTTGGTTCTTAATACACAATATTTCACATAGTTTCTTTATTTTAAGATTTATCTATGTGTATTCGAGGTTTGCCTGCCTGTATGTATGTGTACCACATACCCATAGACTTCAGCTGGTAATTCCTCTGGAACTAGTTACAAATGTTTGCCAATTACCATGTGGGTGTAGGGACTTGAACTCAAGTCCTCTGTAAGAACAAACAGTGCTCTTAACCACTGAGCCATCTCTCTAGCCCTCTTATATGGTTTCTTAACCCTTATATATAGTAATGTCAAGAAAGTATGCCGGGCAAAAAGCACTGAAAAAAAAAAACCAAGAATTATTGTAAACTGTATTTTATTGTCAAGCTTGATAAACAATGAATAATTTAAAGCTTATAAATTAAGTGTATGCCATAGTTTTAAAATCTCCAAGCATGATTATATCTAGTAAAATTTTATTAGCAACCAACTTTCCTTTTAGCGGTGTGAGACACCACAGGACAGTCCCATGTCCACGGCCCATGTGCTACCGAAGTCCCAGCGGGTCAGACTGTTTTCTTAGCGTCATCCAGACAAGTGGTGACTATGCTGTCTTTGCTCAGGGCTGTCGGCTGAAGCGGCAGAGGTTGGCATTCTTCACTAGGAAAAGAAACATTCTGGACACAAGCATCACCCTCATTAGCTTCAGCATCTTGGGACTCCATGCGCAGAGCATCTCTCTACTTCACAAAAACATGCAGCAGTACCGCCATGACCGGGACAGGTGAGGGACCTGAGTTGCGGGCATACCTAACCTCATGCCAAAGACTCCCTGATCCCCGTCCTTCCTTCTCTTCCATTCCCCACCAGATCTGCTGCATTTGTAAAACACAGGTTAAACTAGAACTTGGACTCAGGACCATGGCAGGAAGATCAGCTGACTAAGGCATTTGTCCTAGCCCTGCCGAAAGGCTCTGTGGTGCTCAAGCATCTATATGGAAGATAATGCATTTACGTTTCAGAGCAAGGACTTGGAATTGGGGCTACTTTGTAAGCAATTAAACCTGAGACAAGTCAAATTATTGTCCTTTAAAAGGATACAAACCCAGCACAAGACACACTCACCAATATGAAGTTTTCATGCTTTTTTTTTTTCTATCACCCGTATCAGGGCTGCTGAATACTTTTAGAGCAAGTATTTCCAAAGCTAGGGGCTTGAGATCTAAAACTTTCCCAAAGCACGGTCCTAGGTAGGTCTCTCTTGAACTGTCTACACTGGGCTAGTGGGTCTGTGTAGCCCAAGGGGCTATGGCAGGCAGCTGAGCTCCAGGCTGCTGTGTGGCACTGCCTAGTTCAGCGGTTCTCAACCTTCCTAATGCTGCAACCCTTTATCACCGTTCATGCTGTGGTGACCCCAATCATTTCATTGCTACTTTATTACTGTATTAATATTGTTATGAATCATAAATATTTTTGGAGATATAGCGGGTTGCCAAAGGTGTCGCGACCCACGGGTTGAGAGCCACTGGCGTAGGTCCTTACCAACAGAGGATCTGGGCTCACCAAATTGCTTATTGCTACAGGAGTCTCTCCAAGTTAACTGATTGCTGTGACATGCAATGTACTTCACACAACAAAATGGAACCTTGGGGTAAATCTCTCACCTTTTATAACTCTCAGTATGACTATGACCGCTCACTCGTGTCTCTGTCAGAGAACACGGGGTACTAAAAAACAAGCCATGACAATGACATATCTCCTTAGGGTAACTCTCCTTTTGAGTGAGAGATTTCGGCTCAAACAACCATGGAGGGTGGTCCCCATTTCTAGGATCTGAGGGAAAGACATCAGCTAGGAGCTGCTCTGAAAGGCTGCCAGGATGGCCCCTAGTCACGACGGGGCCTGTCTGTGTTTTCATAGTGTTTCTGGCCATGCTAGAAAGCAGTTTCGATGCAGTGGGTGTCTGATGTAGCAGTTCGGCTGCTAGCTTGCGGAGGAAGCCCTAGCGAGGCCACTGACGAGTGAGGGCAGCTCCCCGTGCTGAGTAACCGTCATGCAGCATTCCTTGCTGACAGGTTCATCAGTTTCTACGAGGCACTGAGAGTGAACTCCGCGGTCACTCACCTCATGGGCTTCCTGCTTCTGTTTGCAACTGTTCGGGTGTGGGACCTACTGCGACATCATGCCCAGTTACAGGTCATCAACAAGACACTGACCAAGGCCTGGGATGAGGTGCTGGGCTTTCTACTGATCATCACACTCCTGCTCAGCAGCTACGCCATGACCGTAAGCCCCAAAGCCCAGCACCTTCCCCACGGGCTGAGTCCTGTCTGTTCCCTCAGGAAAGGTCACTGTTCAGAAAACCAACAGGTTAACACTGGGTTTTTTGAGTCAGATAGGAAAGCTGGGTTTAGTCCCGTTCCATATTTCACGTCTTAAACCCAGATGTGTTATCACATCTCTAAGATACAGACAAAAAGATCAGATGTAGCACAGTGATCAAATTTTGTAGTCATGGTAACTTGGATAGCCACAAGGAATTCCCATTGCTTCTGTTGGCCATATCAAGTTCCTCAGGGCAGAAATGAGATTGGCTACCACTGACTGGCCTTTCTCCCGTTCAGTTCAACCTGCTGTTTGGATGGAGCATCTCTGACTACCGGAGTTTCTTCAGGTCTATAGTGACTGTTGTTGGCCTCTTGATGGGAATTTCTAAGCACAAAGAGGTAAGCTAAGTTTGCAGGAAGGTAGAAGCAGCCTAGTCAGTTTCCTTTCAGGTTGATGTTTGGCCTAGCAGCTTTACCAGTGTGGTGGGGTGGGGTGGGGTGGGGTTGGGTGGGGTGGGGTGGGGTGGGGTTGCTTAACATGCAGCCTCCTATTGCACAGGCTAAGGAGAGAACTACATCCCTTTCCCTTGTCTCAAAGGAACGCCTGTGCATGACTCTGCACTGCTCATCTATTGCTTCCTAAGCACCTGTGCTCACCTCCTCTTCCCCACCTCTTCCTCATCCTCTTCCTCACCTCCTCTTCCCCCATATCCTCACCCTGCTGCCAAAGGACACCTGGCCAGAACAGCACGAGCTGCTGCCGATGCTCTCCATGGCCCACGTGTAAGGGAAGCGAGCAAACACATGCCAGGAAGAATTGCGTTAGTTCTATTTACAGTTAACAAACCCCTAAGGTTTACTCCTCCCCGGCCCACACAAACCCGTCTGCCCATGTTACATACAGGACAAAGAACTTCACACAAAAAATTAGGTCTCAATTAGGTACACTGGTTAGAACATTAATATATATTTTTAAAAAGTCATAGAGTACCATAAGTATAATTTTATGCAAAATTAAAGTGAGGGGAAACTTCAACTATACATTTTATGAGTATTTGGGTCCTAACATTGAAAGGGTTGTGTGACTAGGAACTTGATGGAACTGGCAGCACTTGTACAATTAATCACTTTGATGGCCCATTATTTTTAGGGTTTCTATTGCTGTTATCAAACACCATGAACAAAAAGCAAGTAGGAAGGAAAGGGTTTATTTGGCTTACATATGGAGGCAGGAGCTGATGGCAGAGGCCACGGTGAAATGCTGCTTACCAGCTTTTCCTCATGGCTCTGCTCAGTCTGCTTTCTTGTAGAACCCAGGACCACCTGCCCAGGGCGGTACCACCCACAAACTGGGCCCTCCCATGTCAACCACTAATTATGAAAACACTACAGTATAGGTTTACCTACAGCCCAATATTATAGAGGCATTTTCTCAGTTGAAGTTCCCTCCTCTCAGATATGAAACTAGCTAACACACCCATGACTCAAAGGTTACTGATTACATAGGTTAATCAGTGGTTTTCTTCTCGAGAAAGGAAGAAACAGCTATTTGCTATACTGTTATGGTTGTAGCTGCTTTCACAAGGGGGTGAGTCACTGGTTAACAGGCTAGTAGCAACAATGAATGGGCCAAAACCAAAGTGTGTTGTGTGTGTGTGTCCATTTGTTAAAAAGAACACCTCACAAGGCTAAGTATAGAAACCATCCTAGTAAGACCTGAATTTACAAAGTTCTATGTAGACAAGTGAAAAGAACTTAACTATCAGTACTCAGACCTTACAAGAAAGTGGTGGGGAAAGACATTAAGTCAGTGCCCCCATTTCCAAAGCTTTGCACAAACCCTACCACAGCTACTCCAGTCAAAAGCCAGTTTTTCTTCTCTTTCCTTTTTTTTTTTTTTTGGTTTTTCAAGACAGGGTTTCTCTGTGTAGTCCTGGCTGTCCTGGAACTCACTCTGTAGACCAGGCTTGCCCCGAACTCAGAAATCCTCCTGCCTCTGCCTCCCAAGTGCTGGGATTAAAGGTGTGTACTACCACCGCCCGGCTTTTTTTTTTTTTTTTTTAAGCCAGTTTTTCTTAACTTTTACTGGAAGACTCTTGTGTCCAGAGAAGCTTCCCGAATGGCAGGCAGGTTATATGATCCCTTCTGGTATGCATTTATTCTTTCCACATGCTTGCTACCCCAAGCTTTCGTGTTTAGACAGATGTTTTCAGTTTTCACAACTTAGCTGGGATTTGAATCACAATTCTGTTACTTACCTGTTTTTCTTGTAAAAGCTGAGAATTCAAATTCTAATATCCTTATTCATGTTATATCCACTTAAAAGTGTTTTCCTTAGGATCTTTCTCTCCCTAGATTTATCAGATTCAAACGTTTAGAAATGAATCCCAGATCTTAGCAGTTTGTAATGCTAACTCTGAGAGCTTACTGTCTTCCCAGGTTATTGCTCTATACCCGATCCTGGGCTCGTTTCTGATTCTCAGTAATATCATCCTGATGGGACTTGTGATCATTAATCTTTTTGTTTCTGCCATTCTCATTGTCTTTGGAAAAGAAAGGAAGGCCTGTGAGGTAAGTAACTGAACTGGAAAGTGTAACGCCGCTTTCCAGCCTTCCTAACACTGTGACCCTTTAATACAGTTCCTCATGCTGTGGTGACCCCCAACCATAAAATTATTTTCATTGTTACTTTGTAACTGTAATTTTGCTACTGTTATGAATCAGAATGTAAATGTCTGTTTTCTGATGGCCTTAGGCAACCCGGTGAATGGGTTGTTTGATATCCCCCAATAGGGGTCGCAACCCACAGGTTGAGAACTGCTGCTTTAAGAATACAGGCATAGTGGCACACACCAGTAATCATTTGGAAGTGGAGATAGGACTTCAAGGCCAACCTGGGTTACAAAGTAAGACCCCACGATATTACAAACTGACATAATGCACAGGGTCAGCACATTCTCTTTAGTCATCTTAACTACTTTTCTATAAAAAAAAAAAAAAAAGTTGCCAAGAAGACACTATATTCTGTAACCATAAGTAAACAGCTGGTCTTCAACCATTCAGTAGATATTCGCGACATCTGACAGTAAGCCATTAAAGACTCAGTACCTTTACTATCTACTATGTATTTGTGGGGTTGTTTGGAGGGGTATCCTTGGTACTGTCACAATTTCAGTTCACTTACTCTTCTTTTTGTCTTCAACTACTCAGAAAGAAGCTACACTGACAGATATGTTACTACAGAAGCTCTCAAGTCTGTTAGGAATCCGCCAGCACCAGAATCTTTCATCTGAGAAACATGCTGACAACACTGGGTATTGACCTTAGTGTCTTAAGATGAACTCTTGCTTTCGTTCCTGCCTAGCATAGCTTACATTTCACTCTATTATCACACTGTGTATGAGTGGAGAATCAAAGTCTACTTGTCTCCTCCATATTCTTGCTGGTGGATATCAGCAGAGTATTAAGGATAATGATACACTAAGAACACAGCACCAAACAGCTCTACTGCCACCCAGCAGGTAACAGAATGCTCACCACTCATGCCCCAAAGGGTGAACGCACTTGCAGCTTACTAAAAGAGTAGCAGCCAAGCAAATTCACAGATGCCATCTGCGCTCAAATCAAGGGATAGAAATGAGCCCCCCCCCCCAACAGCCCGACACCTGCAGTGGTGAGAGGAAAGTGAGACTGGATCTGCCTTGTATACTAACATGGGTCACCAGGGTAACTATTTTCCACTAAAATCCAAATTCACTCATTTTACCAACACTAGAGAAAGCAGGACATGGGATCTTTATTAGCAACTACAGCTATGAGATACAAATAAATCAAAAACATTGACATTGAAGTTGCTGGAAACAGGTCTGTACAGAAATATTACAGGTAAGCAAAAATCTCATCTTCCAATCCCAAAGCTAACCTCTTGGGGAAGGACAGCTTTGGCTAGGGGCAAAGCAGCACATAAATTACCATAATAAAGTCTCATCCACCCAGGAAAGCAGTGAACTACAGCTACATGGCACTAAAACTTAAGATACCAGTTTGTAAAGATTCCCTTAATCATAAAAGTTTTCAAATGAAAACATGTATCCCTCCTCTCCTGTAGGCTTCCAGCTCTCTACCCAAGAGACTTGAGTACTTCTATTAAGGCAACTGGAAGCCCACGCTGAGCTTAGATAACGACCTGCACTTCCTTTCTAATGTGCTATGGGGAAAAGCAAATTTCCACAGTGCTGCTCTTTCCTAAAAAGGAAACAGCACTCAAAATAAAGGAAAAGGCCACAGAGGGCTCCCTGAGAATCCAGTAAAACGAAGAGAACTTTTCCAAACAGACTTTGCAACTGGATCCAGGTGGAACAGTGCCCTGCAGCACGGAGTAGTGTACATGTCATGAGAGGGCCCAGCCTCCAGGAACCGTGACAGTGGCTTCCTGAGCCATCTTGCAACTCATTTGAGAAAACACATGGTAGCCTTGATTCTGTCTACAATCACCCCCATGCAGAGGGAAGTATTTACAAGTCAAGGTTGAAACTCTCTTCCAAGGTCCAGCCATCTTTGGCAACTCTACCCACAATACTTCTTACTCCCTGGGAATGGAATGGCGGGGAAAGAACCAAGGGTCCATGTGACAGGAAGACAGCTAACAGGAGCCGATTGCTCCAGCCAGAGGCCCTAGCTGTTAGTCTCTCAGCATCACTAGAGAACTGGAAAGCAACACAATTTGGTAGAGCAGCAGGAGAGCCCCAAGGAAGAGTGCTCAGTGATGGTTAACAGAGGAAACGGAATTTCATGGAGACTCAATGTTACAAGGAGAACTGTTCAGTGTCAACTTCCACAATGGGGATGTTGCCTGGTTTAAGAGACCTATGTTTTCTTTTTCAGTTCCTCAAATCTCCGGGAAAGATCATCAAAGTCTATGTCTTCTGATGCTGAGGTACTGGCTCCAGCAGATGCAGTCGGGAGTGTGTCTGGTACTGATGGCAACTCTGGCAGTACAAAGGTGTTGTAATTATCCACCGGTCTGGAAGGGGGCTTTGCGGGAGCTTCTGGCTTGGGTCCTAATTAAATCAGGTCAAAGAGCACAATGTTACAAGTGGCAGAGGAATGACTCAGCCATCCTTTGACAAAACCCCACAATCCCTTTTGGCAGAGGGGAAAAAAAAAATCCAAATGCAGGAGAGGACGGGATATAGTTAGAGCATTTGGCTAGCATGCACAAAGCTTCGTTTGATCTGCAGCGCTGCATACAACTGCACATGGCAGTAAATGCCAGCATTAGGAAGGTAGAAGCAAGTGGATAGGGAAGTCCAAGGTCATGTTGAGACTGGTACTATCTGATGTAACAGGAATAGTCTATTCTATATGGTTCTTCCACTTTGCTTTTCTTCCTTTTCTTTCAATGCTGGAGATCAAATCCAAGGACGTGCACATGCTGGGCAAGTACTCCACCACTGAGTTTACACCCTCAGTCTCCCAGTGCACCCCACACCCAACTGCTCTAATTTTCAATATGCTTTCTGGGATGCTAGCAGCACTTCATTTTTTTAAAATTGATTTTTATTTTATGTGCATTGGTGTTTTTCCTGCATGTATGTTTATGTGAGGGTGTTGAGTCTCCCAGAGCTGTCACAGACAGTTGTGAGCTGCCACATGAGTGCTGGGAACTGAACCTGGGTCCTCTGGAAAAACAGCCATCTCTCCAGTCCTAGAATTTACTGAGTAAACTACAAAAACATGCCTGCTTTATGAACATTCACCCTTAGTGTTTGTGCCTATTTTGTCCTCTGTTCTGGCTAGTTTTATGTCAACTGAATGCAAAGTAGAATCATTTAGGAAAAGGGAATCTCAATTGAGAAAATGCCCCCACCAGTTTAACATCAGAGGCTCAGCTCACTGGAGGCAGTGCCTCCCCTAGCTTAGTGGTCCTGAGTGGTATAAGAAATCAGGCTGAAAATAGAGCTGGCCCTGCTGGCATGGGCACAGGTGAGCTAGCCCCAATGGCCTGAAAGTGGGAGAGCTGGCTTTGCCCCTTACCAACTGGACTGGGTTAGTCAGGGCAGTGCTAGAGATTGCACCGGTGTGGTGCAGGTGCAGGAGAGCTGGCCAGCTCACCAACTCACTACCTACCACCCAGGGCTTTGAGTTGGCCCACCCAAACATCTACCCCATCTATGACCTGCTGGAGCATGTAAAGGGGCCAGTTCTACAGATCCAAACTTACAAGGTCTCCATGACACAGGGCAACAACAGGATATCTAAGAAGAGTCCCAGTGAGGATCCAGTACTGACAGAGTAGCAGAGGCTGGACCAGACCAACAACTCATTGCAAAGAAGTATGGACAAAATGGTTTACTGTGGCACTGTGACACTACAGCTTCCACAACAAGATGGGGGGGGGTGAAAGGGTAAAGAGTAGGTATAGGGACTGAGGGATTGGGATATATAATGTGAAATTCAAAGAATCAATACAGTTTTTTAAAAAAAAAAAAAGCTGAGTTTAAAGCAGGTAATCCTTCATTCCTTTTTTTTTTATTCTTTTTTTTTTGAGATAGGGTTTCTCTGTGTAGCCCTGGCTGTCCTGGAACTCACTCAGGCTGGCCTCGAACTCAGAAATCTGCCTGTCTCTGCCTCCCAAGTGCTGGGATTAAAGGCGTGCGCCACCACTGCCCGGCGTAATCCTTCATTCCTAGCTTCTGCTTTAGCCTCTGCCTCCAGATTCCTGCCCTGACTTTCTTTGACAAAGGACTGTGACAAAGGGTTTATTTTGCTTATATTTCTTTGGTTTATCACACAATAGAAACCTCACACACCCTTCTTTAATAACTCACTTCAAAACCAAACTGATGCGGGGGAGGACCTTGAGTAGTGGCTCAGTGGTTAAAAAGCTCTTCCAGAGGACATGGGGGTTTACTCCCCAGGACCCACATGGACATTTACAACAGTCTAGCTCCAGTTCTGGCGGGCGGATCCAGTGCTCTCTTGTGGTCTCCAAGGGCACTGCATGCACATGGTGTATACAGACACACACAAAGGGAGGGTTAGGGGGAGGCTGAAGAGATGGCTCAGCCGTTAAGATCACATCTTCCAGAACCCAAGTTCAGCTCCTACCCATGTAAAAACCACCTGTCAAGCTAGGCATGGGGGGCACATGGCCTTTAATCCCAGCACTTAGGAGGCAGGTGGATCTCTGAGTTCAAAGCCAATCTGATCTACAGAGTGAGTTCCAGGATAGCCAAGGCTACAGAGAAACCCTGTCTTGAAAACAAACCACCCATCACTGCAGCCCCAGGAGGATCCCTTCAGACTCCATAGGGGCCTGCACTCATGTGTATAAACCCACATACATATAAACAATGAAAAATAATAGAGAACTTGAAAAATTGGGGCTGAGGAAAGCAAGAAGCCCCAAGTCTTTGTTAGATACATATTTGAAAAGAGGATATGGCCCATGGGTTGAACACCGTGGCCCTGGAGAGAGAAACTGCAAGAGGATGCAGCACCATGAAGCTTCCTGAAACACACTCACCAACAATCTGTGCAGAAGAAACATTTTTATCACCATTAATGTCATCAACCTGCAAAACAAAGACTGTTACCGAAGGAAAAAACAATGACATCTCTAGACAAAGCACTAATACCAGCTCCTTGTTTTCCAAAAGCTAAGCTATTCACCAAAAGCAAGACCTTGCTCTTGCCTCCTAGTCTCTCCGTGCTTCTCTGAACCACAGAAGACACCATGCCAGCCTCTGACCTACTCACTAGGCAAAGAAAGAAAAGTCTTACCACACTGTGACACCTTTCAGATTCCAGGCAAAGCAAACTAGGAAAGCTACAAGAACCAAGGCCTCAAGGACTGAAGATCCACCTCATTCCACAAACAGTTGCCATGTTTTGATACATGGAATGCTAAAGCTTGAGAAAGACTCAGTTCCAGTAGAAAACACATCAACTAGAGATGGAAACCAATGGGAAGAATGATAAGCAACTTAGCATCAGGGAGAGCTTCCTAGGTGAGTAATTTACATAGCACATCCCACACCAACTTGTTTTCTAAGCAAATCATAAGCTGGAAACAGCTCCAAAGGCATGTGTGCATGAGTCATGTATGTATACGCAAGACTGGCAGAAAACAAGGAATTCTGAAGCAGAGACACAGTTCAAGGCATCTTTACCACATGAGCCATTTATGGAAATTTCCATATACCCCCAAGCTCTGGGAGCTATGCCTAGGGCCTCCCGCACAACAGACACACACCCCACCGCTGAACTACTTCCGTGGTTTTTGTTTTACTTTTCATTCTGAAACAAGGTCTTAGACTGGTGATCTACTTCAGCTCCCAAACTGCCACAGGTTTGCTCTATTTTAACTTTTAACTACAAGAATAAAATGTGAACTAAATGCTACAGGCCAAAATTAACTAACTGGACACTTTTGGTTACATCAGATACCCCATTACTATCTGTTCCCATGAATGTTGTGAACTTAAAGACAAACAAAAAGCCTGGTGCTAATAAATATACTATCAAATTACAGCAGCTGGTTTAACAAGACAAATGTATCTAGGTTACGTGCTCTAGAGGTACACTACTTCCCTTCAGTGTTTTAGATGGGCTCATGTGGTCCAGGCTGACTTGAACTCCTGATCCTTCAAAGTGCTGAGACTGCAGGCATGTGCCACCATGTGAGTATGTAACTTCCTAAGTGCAGCTCCTTCCTGATGCCTGGCTTCAAGTGCTGACATAGCATGCCCACCACAAATGCCACCAACAGCACTCCCCATCTCCAGGGCGGCATGAAAGCAACAAAGAATCCAGAACCAAGACCAAACCCATACTAAGTTGATCAAAAGTTTGCCTTCCCTGTTGTCATTATTTTGTTCTCTTCATGGGATTCACTCTCCTGCCGTTTACCAAAAGGCTCAGGCACTTACAGACTCATAGGATGGGGGAGTTGCTGGTATCTGAGGTGGGTGAATGTTAGGAAAGGCCTGGTAGGTCCCCACTGGCAATCCACTGAAATCCGACTGCAAGAGAAAAGCAGTATCAGAAACACCGCCTCCCAATCTGTAACTTGTAGATGTCCTGGGAAGAAATATGTGTAAAAACACATTATGTACATATGTATACATTCAAGATCCTCAAAGGAAAAAGAAGGCTCAAGAGGATCGATCACATGTGGTCACAAAAACTACAAGCATAAAGATCTACAAAGGTTATTCTTCAATTACCACATCGAGTACTTTAATGTCTGCATCAAGGGAAAAAAACTGAATCACTTGATTGCTACCAATGACCTACTATAAAACCAACATCCTAGCAACAATGGCTTTTCAGCCTGGTAATAAAGGGATGCTCTTGTTTTCAGGAAAAAACAAAACAAAAAACAACCACAAAAACCCCTACTAACATTACTGCAATAGGTTCCCAGCTGTTAACCTTCCCTGACTGGTTTTCCTAGTACTAGCTATAGATTTTTCTACTTCAGTTCTTGCAGCTAAAGCCAAGGACTTTCCTGGATCTGATATTGTTCCTCAATACACTTGCCTGACTACTCAGCTAACAGAAGGGTTGTTACTGTTCTGTATTCCTAGCAACCTACAACTTCGCAATGTGTCCAAAGCCCATCTGGTCTCTTCCGCAACACTTCCTTAAGCTCACGGGCACACTTTGTTTATGCACACATACTTACTGGTCCCTTTGGCAGTGGGTATGCGAAGGGAGCATTTGGAGATGGCATGGGCATGGGCATAGGCATGGGCACGATGCCATCGGGTCCACCAACAGGGGCCGTGAACCCGCCCCCTCCTCCTCTTCCAGGACCACCTTTCTTTACATCATCCGTAAATCCAACATCAATAAGATCTGTCTCCACCCCAACAGGAGCTTCTGCCTAAGAAAAAGCAGAAGCATTTATTAACCATGGCCATGGCCAGGTCTCGAAAAGTCCAGGGATATACATATAAGCATAAAAATTGTTTACTTTGGTCTCATATAGCCCAGGCTAGCCTTGAACTGATCCTCTTGCTTCTACCTCCCTGGTTAATAGCCCATTAACTGCTTTTTCCTAACCTGATACTGCTTTTCTTTCATAATAGTGGTCACACCATCAAGAGCTGTAGGGAAAGGGAAGGCACTAGGCAGGAGAACACTGTACCACAGTGCTGCAGCACAGCCTCAGACAAGTCCCAGGAAGCAAGAGAAAACAAAGGAAAGCAAAGGAGACAAAGGTCTCCAAGGGAAGGAAGGGGACAGAGTGTAGAGTTTAAAGTCCTCACCCTAGGAGATTCAGAAAGAAAATGTCCCAGGAAAGACCCCCTTCTCCAGCAGAGGGCCAGCTCTAAAGAACATGGACACACTAACACTCCTGAGAGCTGGGGAAATGCTGCTGTCTGGGAGTGGCTGTGTGCTGGAAGCTGGTTAATAATGTAAGAACTTCTGCCAAACCCTACTAACTTTAACTGTTGAATCCTTATTATAGTCAAGACAGAGAACTTGTTTTACATGTATATCTATACTCAGCTTTCTAACCACTCCCTGAACAAGAAATGAACTATATAGATCCTGGAGTAGTGCTATGCACAAGAGGATTCTCAACTTCTTCCAGCTTAGTGAAAGGCAGAAATAACATACTTTAACATTTTTGTCAAGACTGCTTTCTCAAGCTGCCTTCATTTACTCAATCTCACGCTTTAAATGCCCTGTGAGATTTGCAGTCATATTTATTGTTATACAAGAAGGTACCAAAGGCTTACGTGCACCAAATCAGCTAGTATAAATAATAGCTCCCTGCTCCCCAAGAAGTCCTGTGTAGTCTCCTTTTCCTTTGTGCTCAGGCATAAACTTACCATGACAACAGAGTCAGGTTCATAGGGTACATTGTAATTCTTGGCAATTTCAATCAGGTATCTCTCCACTAGGATTTTGGGTGGGGCTTCTACACTCAGTTTGTGCATCAGCTGTGATAGGAGATTGATGTTAAGAAGCATCCATACACCCAGCCTGGTCCCCACCTGCTTCTTTTAAAATTTAACTTCTCTCATTTTCCTGGTAACACTGAGGAAGATAAGAATAGATGAACTACTTTTTCCCAGTCAAATTCCCAGGCACATTACAGGATGCATGCTGTCCTCACTCTCTAGTTAGGAGACAGGTACTCAGCACCAATGCCTTCCCCATTCTATTCCTCCAACCCTTCTTTCCACTTTTCTCTGCCTTCCTAACTCACAGCAGATGAAAGAGAAAAGCTCAACAATCAGGTTGGGGCGGGGAGGGGAAGGGCCAGACTGCACTGCAGGCCACACAGGTATCCTCTGCCCTTCACTAGAAAATATAACCTCAGCTACCTCAACCATGCACCCGTACAACTCAAACGCCTGCTGGTAATAAAACTACCTGCCCCACTAGGTCCTATTTCCCAGAGGTTCATTACCCTATCATTCACAGTCCCAATCTGGTTGGTCCTGCACAACTTGCCATATTCCTTGCTATATTTGGCACAGAGCTGATCGGCAACCTACAAAGAACAAGAAAGACTGTTAAAAGAAACCACTCCCATAAACAGCTTCACAATTTCTCCTATAAACATTAAACGTATCTTTAATACTATGTTTTTTAAAAAAAAAAAAAAAACAATATCTACTGTTTTACTTGTTTGTCTTGTTTCTTGAGACATGGTTTTCTCTGGGTAGTCCCAGCTGCCCTTGAAGTCACTCTGTAGACCAGGCTGGCCTTGAACTCAAGAGATCCACCTGCTTCTGCCTCTGGAGTGTTAGAATTAAAGGCATGGTACACTATGTCCAGCAAAAACAAAACACGATGTCTATAAAACCTTGGTAAGTATACATTATTTTTCATTTACCCAGAAAGCAACAACCTAGCTCCAGACATTCTCACTAAGCATGACAAATACTGAAAGTACACCATGAGCTGACCACGTGGCAGACACCTATAATCCCATTAACTAGGAGGGCAGAAGCAAGACATCAGTTCAAGGCTAGCCAGGGCTACATGGCCCCACTCTCCGAAACCAGTAATATGATGATGAACAAAAAAGACACCATTCAGTAAAGCGGTGGCCATGCACGCCTTTAATGCCAGCAGTAGGTGCCAGATACAGGCAGATTTCTCTGAGTTCGAGGCCGGCCTGGTCTACACAGTGAGTTCCAGGACAGCCAGAGCTATACAGAGAAACCCTGTCTCGAAAAACAAACAACAAAAACAAGACACTATTACTAAGGAGTCTTATAATCTATGTGCAAAATAATACTATTAATAGTAATGATAGCCGGGCGGTGGTGGCGCACGCCTTTAATCCCAGCACTTGGGAGGCAGAAACAGGCGGATTTCTGAGTTCGAGGCCAGCCTGGTCTACAGAGTGAGTTCCAGGACAGCCAGGACTATGCAGAGAAACCCTGTCTCGAAAAACCAAAAAAAAAAAAAATAGTAATGATAAGCTAATAAAGGTCCACCTGCAGCTAGGATAAATGCTACTAAAGGAAGGTACGACATGCAAACCAGACCTGAGCAGAAGAGTGAGCTGAGGCTGCCTCTGAAGAAAGCAATGTCTTATCAACATTTGGAAGATGGTTAGAAGTAAACTAAGCAAAGAGCTGGGGACAGTATTGTATATCTATAACCCCCAATGAGAGGCAGAGGCAGGAGGACCCCCACAAGTTTAAGACCAGCCAGAACTTCATAGTAAGAAACAAGTTAACAATCTAGAAAGAAAATTGTTCTAGGAAACTATGTAAAGGCTTCTTGGGGCTAAAACATGGCCAGTTCACAAAGCCGAAACGAAGTCAGGGAGTCTAGAGCAGAACCTCAGGCATTTAGTGACAACTGAGACCAGCCACATCGGAGCCAGATGGGACACATCATGGAGATATACAACACGAGAACCACAGGAAGCTACTTCAGGATTTTATAGCAAGGAGTTGCCTTAACATAGGATTTGTTACCTGAAAATGTTTTTTCCAGACAAGGTTTCTCTGTATAGCCCTGGCTGTCCTGGAACTCACTCTGTAGACCAGGCTGGCCTCAAACTCAGAAATCCACCTGCCTCTGCCTCCCAAGTGCTGGCATTAAAGGTGCAAGCCACCACTGCCTGGCTTAATTTTTTAAAAAGATTTATTTATTATTTGAGTACACTGTAGACATCTTCAGACACACCAGAAGAAGGCATCAAATCTCATTACAGATGGTTGTGAGCTACCATGTAGTTGCTGGGAACTGAACTCAGGACCTCTGGAAGAGCAGTTAGTGCTCTTACCTGCTGAGCATTTCTACAGCTCAAAATGTTTTAATTTTATGGCTTACAATTATGTAAGAACTGTAAACTGTGAACTGCCCATAGTAAGGCCTATTCATGCCACCACTTAGGAGTTCAAGGTTACTTTTAACTACATAACAAATGCAAAACCACTCTGGGTTATGAGACCCTGTGTGGTAGTTGGATGTAAGCGGTCCTCACAGGCTCATAAGGAGTGCACTATTAGATATGCAGGGTGTGGCCTGGCTGAAGGAAGTATGTCACTGAGGGAGGGATCTGATATCTCACATGCTCAAGCTAAACCCAGTGTGGCACACAGTCTCCTTCTGCTGACTGTGGACCAAGATGTAGAAATCTCAGCAACTTCTCCAGCATCAGGTCTGCCTGTATACTGCCACATTTCCCACCATGATAATAATGAACTAAACCTCTGAAACTGTAAGCCAGCCCCAAATTAAATGTTTTCCGTTATAAGAGTTGCCATGATCATGTTGTCTCTTCATGGCAACAGAAACCCTAAGACTCCCTCTCAAAAAGAAAAAAAGTTGCTATGGCGGCTCAGAACTGCCTATAACTCCAGTTCTAGGGAACCTGAACTCTTGTAGCTTCTGCAGAAACCAAGCATGGACATGATGCACAGATATACATGCAGACTGGCAAACACGCTTACACAGAAAGAGCTTAAAAACAACAACAATAAAAATGTTCTGGAGATGGGCGCAGCTCAGTAATAGAGACCTGCTCAGTGTGTGTGAGTACGGACATAGCTGTGTGAGGGCCTAGGTTTGACTCCCAGCACCACAAAAACAAGATAACAGAAAGCAAAATACGTATCAAGCAAATGAATGTGTCTAATATATGTTGTTCTCTCTGTCCCTCCCCGCACTCCTGTCTCTTGCCTCAGCCTCCAAAGTACAGGGACTATATGCATAGACTACTGCACCCAACTAAAAACTAATTAAAGGTACTATACTGGCTGGTTTTGTGTGTCAACTTGACACAAGCTAGAGTCATCAGAAAGGAAGGAGCCTCAGTTCAGGAAATGCCTCCATGAGACACAGCTGTAAGGCATTTTCTTAGTTTCCTCAAGGGGTGTGGGGGCACTGTGAGTGGTGCCATCCCATGGCTGGTAGTCCTGGGTTCTATAAAAACACAAGCTGAGCAAGCTAGGGAAAGCAATCCAGTAAGCAGCATCCCTCCACGGCCTCTGCATCAGCTCCTGCCTCCAGGTTCCTGCCCTGTGTGAGTTCCTGTCTTGACTTCCTTTGGTGGTGAACAGCAATGTAGAAGTGTAAGCTGAATAAATTCTTTCCTCCCCAACTTGCTTCTTGGTCATAACATTTTGTGCAGCAATAGAAACTCTGACTAAGACAGACAACAACCTTTACATAAATGTAGCCCTTTAGAAAGTTGTTCAAATTCTCAAAACAATTTCTATGCTATGAACATCTGAAAAGTAGTAACTGATTAACAAAGCCTGTTTCAAAGCCAGATGCTATGTACAAGTTACCCAGCTAAATAAACAGACTTTACTAATGATACAAAAGAACTACACAGGCTGGGCATGGTGGCATTTCCTTTAATTCCAGCACTCAGAGGCAGAGAAGAGTAGATTTCTGTGCGTTCTAGGTTTAGATATAAGTGTGAGGCCAGCAAGACAGGCCAGAGACACAATGAGACTTTGTCTACAACAAAACCAAAAACTTACAGACATTATGGAAATTGCTTATACTCACTATTTTCAACTCGGCCACTTCTGACTGCAGCCGAGGAGCAGCCCAGATCAGTGTAGACACAGATTCAGCTAGACCAGAGTCTAGCTCCCTAATGAAAAAAAATACGCAATTTAACATCCTTTAAAACAAACCAACGAAAGCCATCGTCGTTATGTCACATACCAGATGACATCCACAGTTACTTCACAATTGCACTGGCTTCTGGAAACTGGCATTCTAGTGATTTCACTTCCCTATTTTGCTTTTGGAGAAACTAAAAGTAAGTGACACGCCCAAGTGCACTAACCTCAGAGAAGCTGACCCAAGTGAGACTCAAACCTGGGACACTGGACTTCAGAGTCTGCTTTCTTTTCACTATCAGGCAACAGATCCTTGGGTATGTGAAAGAACCTCTCAGTGTTAGCCTGCTGCAGATCCACGTAGACTAAGAAAATACTACTCCATCCTCAAATTGCAGATATGTTTAGCCTCTGAGGCAAGATATCTTACTTCATAGACTGGATAAGGCCAAACCGAGCCAGCAGCAGGTCACAGTACAGCTCCAGGATCTCCATGGCCTCCACAAGGTAGTCTTCCCGGATTATGTGCTCCACACGGATGCGTGCTCGCTCATCCTTCCCAGCAGCCAGATAGTCAGCAATCTCCTTCCTTGCTTTCTGGGCCAGTTCCGCTGGGACACAAACCCCACTCCAGTCACACAGCAGGAACCTGGCCAGGGGGCAGACCTCCACCCACCAGAGGACACTGAGAAGATGGTGCTGGAATCTACAGTATCCTAGCTCATACCCCCTTAGCACATCTACTCTCTTTATTACTGCTCTAGAATCTCCCATCCTGTACAGATAGGACTAGGACACTGGCTGACATTTCTGACTCAGGAGCCATGGCTCCAGGATGCCTATGTATACCACAACAAAGAGGTTTGAGTGCCTAAGACATAGAAAATGGCAAAAAATGTGCACATGATCTATGCTTAGCCTCCTGTATACTTTTAACCTCATTTAAATTACTTATACTGAACTATAGAAATGCTACATAAATGGTTGTTATAATGTACTTTTTGGAATGATGAGAGAATTCTGTACACAGTACAGATGCATTTTTTTTTCCCTCTGAATACTTCTGATCAGCATTCATCTGAATGCATGGATGGGAAACCCAAGGATGCAGAGCATACAAATACAGAGGGGTCAACATTATGTCCCGTTCTCTGCAACAGAGCATCTCAGTTTAACTATATACAAGAGGCAGACATGTATCCTAACTACACAGCTATGAGAAAGACTCCAAAGTACTAGCCTGAAAGATCCATCTTGGGATGCTGGCACCCCATAAAAGAAAGGAGGTTGGGTGGGGGTGTGAGGTTGGTACAGTAACAGTACTCACTTTTTTTCTTCTCCAACAGTTTAAGACGATTTATAACTAATCTCAAATTGACTCGTAAGCGCTCAGCTTTGAAACCAGAGCCCAGCATGTTGTCCTGCTCCTCCTGGAAAAACTATCAGCACAATGAAGAGTCCAAATTAGTTCAGGAACTAGCACTACTTAGAGGCGCATTAATAACCTAGACCAGAGTGGTCTCTTTCCTTTTTTCTTTTTGGTGTTGGGAATTGAACCTAGGGCTGTGTACATGCTAAGCACATCTCTACCCACTGAGCTATCCCTTCAACCCCTAGAGTTTTTCTAAAACAATGACATGATCTAAACATCTTGTTTACATATTATTTTACCACTGTTCAAAGAACTGAGTGAACAGGAACAAGTAGATATGAAATCTAAAAGAATGCACTAAAAGACAAAATCAGTATATAGGCATTGGCCACAGGAGCAGGGTGATTAAAAAGATAAGGTAGCCAGGCATCACCGGTGGTGCACACCTTAGTCCCAGCACATAGGAAGCAGAGGCAGACAGATCTCTTGTGAGTTTGAAGCCAGTCTGGACTACATAATAAGTTCCACGACAGCCATTGCTACAGAGACAGACTGTCTCAAAAACCAAAACAACAAAAACAAGGCAGGAAGTATTCCATTAAAAAAAAAATATCTTTCAGCCAGGCAGTAGTGGCGCACGCCTTTAATCCCAGCACTTGAGAGGCAGAGGCAGGCGGATTTCTGAGTTCGAAGCCAGCCTGGTCTACAGAGTGAGTTCCAGGACAGCCAGGGCTACATAGAGAAACTCTGTCTCGAAAAAACAAAAAACAAAAAAAATAATAAATAAATAAATAAATATTGCTACTAAATCTGAGTCTTTGAGAAAAGTTGTTGTCTGGTACCTCAAAAATGTCATTAGCATTTACTCAGACACAAAGTGCTATACAAGGGCGTGAAAGTACCAACCTGCTTTATGAAGTTCTACAACAGAGTGCTATTTACCAAAACTTGTACCAAGCAGCCATTACAATTAGTGTGTCAGGGCACATACTGTGCATATGCTGTCTCATGACAGTATAATTTCTATTTCTCTCAATTTTATTTCTGGACTCAAAACTTTAAAGTAATATAATATCCAAGCAGAAGCTAATCTGACAAAGTAAATAAGGAAAAGAAAAATAAAACAAATAGTACAAACAGTAGGACTAGTATTTGCTTGTGTAAAAAGCACTGTCAGAAGATAACAGTATACTTTCTTTTGTGAAATGGCCTCCAGAACCTTTATACTACACTGGATAACTTCTATCCAAAGTCAGAAAGTATCTCTGACCCATTATGCTGAAATACGATCCATCCATTCAACAAGAATTTATTGATTATGTGTCAGAACCTAGCTAGATACTGGAAATTAGGAGAGTAAGTACAGCCTCTGATTCACATAAGGAAATTATAGTCTACTAAAGGAAAAAAATAATTAAAATCCAGAAAGCTATCATAGTATTTGAAAAAACAAACCTATAATCCTAGAGTCTCTCAATTGGGAGTGACTGGAGACATCTGCATTGTCATAACTGGAGAGGAAGCTATCAGCAACTAGTGGGCAGAGGCCTAGGATCCCATTAAACATACAAGAATGAACAAGACAGTGGTCCAATATCTGCCCCAAACCTCAACAGAACTAAGACTGAGAAACCTATAATAAAGAAACAACCCGCCGGGCGGTGGTGGCGCACACCTTTAATCCCAGCACTTGGGAGGCAGAGGCAGGTGGATTTCTGAGTTCAAGAGTTCGAGGCTAGCCTGGTCTACAGAGTGAGTTCCAGGACAGCCAGGGCTACACAGAGAAACCCTGTCTCAAAAAAGCCAAAAAAAAAAAAAAAAAAAAAGAAACAACCCAAATTCTTAGGACAATCACAATAAAAGGTCCTCAAGATGGCAAACCCTAAGAAAGATGCATCTGAAAGAACAAACCAGGCATCTAAAAAGGAAGACTCTGCGTCTGATGTGGTAGTACAAGTTGACACATGTCAAGATGCTGTCTCAAACCAAAAACCTCCAAAGCACAAGGAGTTGTGTGTGTAAAACCCAGGTTCCAGAAAACAAGAAGCTTTCTGAGAGTTAGACTCCCAATACTCTACCAGAATATGTGTTGATAGATACAAACAGTATCAATAGTCTCAGGCACTCACAGCAGGGATGAATTGGAAGTAGGAAGAAAGACAAGCATTAACAACTATTACACTTTACTTTCTAGTAACCTGTACCAAGTCAGCCAGCAACAGTGGGTAGAACTGAGAATAAAACTTAAAACACAAGCCAAACATGGCATCTGTACCTCTAAACCCTGAAGAAAGAGGTGGTAGGATTCCTTAAGTTGTAATATTTCCAGCTTGGGCAATACAAGGAGACACACTAAACTAAAAGCTAAATTTATCTGAAACCAAATCCCAGATAAATGATCCATATCATGTACCACTGAGTCCTTTATTGCACTATAAACTATAATAGAGCTCAGATCACACATACAAGGCCCAGGAAAATGGACGTGTGCCCACAGAAGAGGGTGAGGAAGGATTGTAGAAGCCAGAGGGGTCAAGGAACCCACAAGAACATAGCCCACAGAATAAACCAAGCGGGTCTCATAGGAACTCACAGAAAAGGAAATGGCAAACATGGACCCTGTGTGGGTCTGAGTTAGGTCCTCTGCATACACCTTATGGTTGTAAAGCTTGGTGTTTTGTGGGACTTCCAATGACAGGGGTTGGTTCTGACTCTGTTGCCTATACTTAGGACTCTTTTTTCCTACTGGGTTGCCATGTCCAGCCATGACATGAGGGTTTATGGTCAGTCACTGTATCTCATTAGGCCATATTCAATGGAGATTCCTGGGAGGCCTTTTTTTTTTTTTTTTGTAAAGGGAAACAGAGGAATTGATCTAGGGAAGAGGGGAAGTGGGGGAGGAACTGGGAGGAGTGGAGGGAGGAGAAACCAAGGTTAGGATATAATGTATGAGAGAATAAATATTATTTTAAAAAGAAGAAAATGGGGGCACAGTGCGGGTACTGCAGAGACTGCATAGTTGGCAAAGTACTTGCTGCTCAGATCTAACAACCCGAGTTCAATCCCCAGCAACTACACAGAAAGCTGGGCAGGCAGAGACAGGCAGATCTCTGGGCTCAGAGAAGCCAGCCAGCCAGCCTTGCTTACCACATGAGCTCCAGGTTTTCAATTAAGAGCCTGTATTAAGGCCGGGCAGTGGTGGCGCACACCTTCATTCCCAGCACTTGGGAGGCAGAGGCAGGTGGATTTCTGAGTTCGAGGCCAGCCTGGTCTACAGAGTGAGTTCCAGGACAGCCAGGGCTACACAGAGAAACCCTGTCTCGAAAAACAAAACAAAACAAAACAAAAAGACAAGACAGCTACAGTGTACTCATATAAATAAACCTTCTAAAAAAAAAATTGTGATAAGGATGCTAAAGTATATCTCCACAACTGAGGGGGCTTCTGGGAGCAGGGGTCAAGGTGGGAATGTATGGATGGGGAACAGACCTTTTTTTGAGGGGCAGGCTACTGGGAATTTGACTATGCTCCAATGAGTATACAGATAACACAACTGAACTAACGTTGTGTGTTTTTTTCCCCCTTTTTTTGGGGGGGGGGTGTCAGAAGGGTGGGAGCAGTCATGGGAGGATGGGAAGTGTGATGGGGTGTGTGATGATTTGTACATGCTTGGCCCATGGAGTGGTACTGCTATGAGGTGTGGCCTTGTTGGAGTAGGTGTGTCACTGTTGGCATGGGCTTTAAGACTCCCTGAACCTGTAAACCAGCCCCAATTGAATGTTGTCCTTATATGAGTAGTCTTGGTCATGGTGTCTGTTCACAGCAGTAAAACTCTTAACTAAGACAGGGTACATGATGTGAAATTCCCAAATGATCAATATAGACATTATGAAAAAAATCTCATAAAAACGAACAAAACCGTAATTGGAGATGGCTCAGTGCTTGCTGTATAACCATGAGCAAGGGCGTTCTCATCCCAGCATGCATGTACAAAGCCAGACACCCAGCATAGGCCTGTGGTCCCAGCACTGAGCTAAGTGGACTTCACAGCATCCTTGTGTTTATTAAGTCATGCGGCTTCTTGACATTTTCATTTGATAGAAACACGATTTTCTTCCCCAGATTACTTTTTGTAGCCCTTCTCTTTTCTCCCTGGGCCTCTGGTTTCTAACAAGACCTGAGCCTCCTCTAGGATCCTTACGTAGACCCTGATCCACTTAATTTAAGCTACAATCAAGATCAAGTCCCCGTTATATATAACCTGTTGTGGTTTCAAGTAAAACTGCAAAACACTGCAAGACAAAGTGCAGTCTAAGTAAACGATTTCAAGTGGAACCCTTAAATTACTGATGAGGTTTCCTTTTCTTTTTTTCCTTTCAATATTTATTTTTATTTTATGTGTATGGTGTTCTGCCTAGACCCTTTGTCTAGGGTCCCAGGCATATCTGCATCATGAGTGTGCTTGGTGCTTGTAGAGTTCAAACAGCGTTTTAGATCCCCTGGAACTAGAGTTATTGGACAGTTGTGAGTCACCATGTGGGTGTTGAGAATTGAACCCAGGTCCTCTGCAAGTAAGCATCCTATAGGCTAGGCGCTGGACTGAATGAAGAGGAGGAAGGCTCCTGTGATGGCCACGTATTTAGAGGCTCTTGTGACCAAGCCTGATATGAGTTGATCCTCAGTACCTACATGGTAGAAAGAGTACCCACAATTGTTCCACACTTGTACTGTGTCCCTTGCCAACGCATGTGCACACACACACACATACACACAAATAAAATAAGGTTTGAAAATCCTTAAGTTGGCACTCTCAACTGTTTTCTTCACACTCATTACAACAGTTGTTAGTTTTGCTCATGTTCTGTCTGCTAGATTGATGAATTACCAAGGGGAATATATTGAGGCTTCTAACTATAAAATTGTCATTTTTTTTTTGGTACATGTCAATTTTTGTTTCATGTGTTTTGAATCCTTTCTCATGAGAGGCATTCAGAGTTACGGTTCTGTTTTCTTGGTGAACTCACCTATATATAAATGGAGTGG